GGGTCTCCCAGGTAGGTGCAGGGGCCCAAGGACTTGGGCCAGCTTCCCCTGCTTTCCCAGGCCACAGCAGAGAGATGGATGGGAAGTGGAGCAGCTGGATCTCGAACCAGCACCCATATGGGATGCCAGCACTGCAGGCGGTGGCTTTACCTGCTATGCCACAGCGCCAACCCCTGTTAACCCATTTTTAAGTGTAAACAGACAACCCAGGATTATAAGACACCCCCCTAATAAAGAATCTAATGTAGAAGACAGAGATCAAAACAGCAGAAAAAGAAATTTGGAACAAATAGCTTATGCAGAGAGAAGAAAAATTAGAACAAAACTATCAGTAATAGCTTCTAAGACAAGATAAATGATTCTGTGTATGTGTGTGTGGGGGGGGGGCGTCTTTGGCCTAGTGGTTAAAACTCAAACATGCAATACCGGAGGACCTGGGTTCAACTCTTAGCTCTGCTCCTGATTTCAGCTTCCTGCTGATACGCACCCTAGGAGGCAGCAGGTGATGGCTCAAGGACTTGGGTCCCTGCCGCCCACGAGAGACCTGGTTTGCACTCTGAGATCCAAGCTCTGGCTCCCTGCTCACTGCAGGCATTTGGAGAGTAAATCAGGGGATAGGAGCTCTCTGACTCTCGAACAAAAAATAAAATTTATATAAAAGTTATTGCAACCTGTAGAATAAACTGCTTTAATAAATAAATAAACATATTCAGAAAATAGAAATAAAGTGAAAACCATACCTATATTTTTTTAAGATTTTATTTATTTATTTGAGGGGAAGAGTTACAGAGAGAGGGAGACAGAGAAAAAAGAAGTCTTTGATCTGTGTTTACTCCCCAAATGGCTGCAACAAACAAAGCTGAGCTGATCTGAAGCCAGGAGCCACCAGCTTCTTCTGGGTCTTCCACATGGATGCAGGGGCCCAAGCACTTTGGGCCCAACTTCCACTGCTCTCCCAGGCCATTAGCAGAGAGCTGGATCAGAAGAGGAGCAGCCAGGACACGAACTGGTGCCCAGATAGGATGCTGGCATTGCAGGCGGATGCTTAACTTAATACACGACAGCATCGGCTATAACAATCTCTCTCGGGTTTTTTTTTTTTTTTTTTTTTTTTTGACAGGCAGAATTAGACAGTGAGAGAGAGACAGAGAGAAAGGTCTTCCTTTTTTGTTGGTTCATCCCCCCAGATGGCTGCCACGGCCAGCATGCTGTGCTGATCTGAAGCCAGGAGCCAGGTGCTTCCTCCCGGTCTCCCATGCGGGTACAGGGCCCAAGCACTTGGGCCATCCTCCACTGCTTTCCCGGGCCACAGCAGAGAGCTGGACAGGAAGAGGAGCAACCGGGACATAACCGGCACCCCAACCGGGACTAGACCCCTGGGTGCCGGCGCCGCAGGCGGAGGATTAGCCTAGTGAGTCATGGCGCCGGCCTAACAATCTTAAAATAACAAAAAAACTCAGTAGAAGAATGGGAAGACAAAGTTGAGGAAATCTTTCAGAAAACAAAATAAACATGGCAAGTGGGAGAGAAGAATAAGACAAGAGACTGTTGCAGCAGGTCCATCAACCACATTATCGGAACTGCAAAAAAGAAAGAACAGAGAAGACAGAGGGAGGGAACCAAGAAGACAGAAGGGATGAATCAAGGTTACTTCCCAGAACAGAGGGGCACCGAGTGCCCAGCACAGCCTTGAGCAAAAGACTTCCGACTTCTCACCAGCAATGATGGAAGCCACAGGGTAACAGCAACGGCTTCAAACCTCAGGAGGAACTCAACAGCAAGACCAGTCTGGGCAGGATAAGGCTATGGCAAACATGCAAAGCTTCAAAACATTTTTTTTTAAAAAGATTTATTTATTTTTATTTGAGAGGTATAGTTACAGGCAGAGAGAGGGAGAGAGGTCTTGCATCCACTGGTTCACTCCCCAGATGGCCACAATGGCTGGAGCTGGGCCAATCTGAAGCCAAGAGCCAGGAGCTTCTTCCTGGTCTCCCGCTTGAGTGCAGGGGCCCAAGGACTTGGGCCATCTTCCACTGCTTTCTCAGGCACATTAGCAGGGAACTGGATCAGAAGCGGAGCAGGTGGGACTCACACCTGTGAGCGCCGTAGGCAGATGCTTCACCTACTACAACACAGTGCCAGCCCCACTCCAAAACAATCTACCTCCCAGTTTCTCAGGAAGCTTCTGGAAGATAAGCCCCTCCAAAAACAGGGAATAAGTCAGCAAAGAGAAAGACACGGCAGATGGCAATTAAAAGCTCCAACAATGGACAGAGGTAAAGAAACAGTCCAGAATGAGTCCGAATGATGCCCTGTTGGCAGAGGTACCACACGGGTCGGGCGGAAACCCGGCAGGGAGCAGACAGAAGGCACCACAGGGAAGTCTCCAAGAAGACAAAATGGGTGGAATCTCTGCTGTATCGTTACACTGAGGAGAGATCCAGGGAAGAGTTGTAGGCAGATTTGTAATAAGTACACAGAAAATGAAAAGAGATTATTCATTCCAGGAAAAATAAAAATTTCTGCAAGACAGGAAGTATATGTTCATTTCCTGAACTTACTCAGGTTCAGCCTAAATAGCATAAGCAGTTCCAACAAGAACTGAAGACTGAAGGGGCCAGCGCTGTGGCATAGCAGGTAAAGCCCTGGCCTGAAGCGCCGGCAGGCATCCCATGTGGGCGCCGGTTTGAGACCCGGCTGCTCCACTTCCGATCCAGCTCTCTGCTGTGGCCTGGGAAAGCAGCAGAAGATGGCCCAAGTGCTTGGGCCCCTGCAACCCACGTGGGAGACAGGAAGAAGCTCCTGGCTCCAGATCAGTGCAGCTCCAGCTGTTAGGTAGAAAGTCAGATATGAGTTTATGCATGTGTGACAAAGGTCTAAGAAGACGTCTATGTCCAGCATGTGCATCTCAAAGTCATCCCGATAACCTTTCAGGGGCAGCCCAGTATCTGCACTTCAAACGCGCCCAGCCCCTTCTACCGGATAACCATCCTTCCTCTAAGGCTCCTCTAACGCACCGCGATGCCAGCCAGACTTCCTCCTGTCTGATAACTTTAAGGAGAAAACTCAGATAGGAGTTCTTAGTATTTACATCCAAAAAGTCCTTTGTTCCAAGAGGAGCAGAGGCGGGAAGGCAAGGCCCATTCCCTTAAAAAACCCTGGCCTCAACCGGACTGCGCGCTCAGCCCTCTGCCCTTCTGCTGAGCCGCTCACCTGGCCTGCCCAGGTGTATTCTCTCCATTCACTCTCTCCCAGTCTGAGCGACTGGGCACTCTCTCTCAGGTTCTGTCTGGAGAGGTGCCCGTCCGTTCTTACGGATGTCCCTTCCCTAATAAACCTTGCTATTTCACTTTCCACTACTCTGTCTCATGCCTGAAATTCTTTCTTGCCGGAAGACAAGAACCCTGCCATTCACCAATAACACAGCCATTGTGGCCAATTGGGGAGTGAACCGGAGGGCGGACGACCTCTCTCTCTCTCTCTAACCCTTTCAAATAAATCTTAAAAACAACAACAACAACAACAAAACCTGCTGCATATTCAGTGCCTAGCTCGAAACAGGTGCTCAATAAATAGTTCTGGAATTAAATAATTTAAAAGTGCTAAAAGCAACTACACGCAAATTTTAAAAATGCTCTGTGAACGGCAAAGGCACCATGTACGCGGAATGAATGCTCCGGCCCAGCGCTGGGCCTGGGCGGCCTCTGCCTAGCCGCCTCGCACGCCCGATGCCAGAGCGCTGCTGGGACCCGCGGGGGCGGCAGCCGTCAGTCAGAGCCCGGAGCAGGCGCGCCCCGCCTCCAGGGGGCGGACCCGGCGGCACAGGGGCGGGGCCTGGGGCTGCGCGCCGAGGGGGCGGGGTCGGGCCCCGGCGCACCGGGGCCGGTTAGAAGCCCCGCTGGTCGGCGGAGTAACCGGAGCCCCGGCGCCGAAGGGGTGCGACCCCCGCCGGCTCCGCCCCCCGGCTGCGGCCCGGCCAATCAGAGCGGCTTTTACTGGCGAGTGGGCCGAGCCGGCTCAGCTGCTCGGAGGCTCTGGCATGGTAACGTCCCCGCGCGGGGGTGGCGGGGCCCGGGGCGGTCCCACAGCGCCCCCTGCGGCCCGGGCCGGGGCCTGGGGGGCGGCGGGGAGGCCGCCGTGGGTGGGGGCCCGGGACCCCAGGGAAGGGTCAGGGGGACGAAGGGTGAGGGAGAGGAGCCCAGACAGGGGGGATGGGGGCGGGGATTTGGGTGAGAAGGGGCGGGGGAGGCCATGATGGAGTCTGGCTGGGGTGCGCGGCGGGGGTGCGTGCGGGGACGAGAGTTGCGGGACTGGGCGAGGCGGAGGGAGGGAAGCCGCGAAGGGTGGAGAAAGGTCGGGAAAGCGGAGATGCGGGAGCCGCGCGACCAGGGGAGCGGCGAGGACCGGCTTTCCATCCTGGGATACTTGGCGTGCGACGTGCCCCACCCCCAGACCCAGGGCTGACGCCCTTGGGGGAGACCGGGGTGCCCCAGCCCACGACCGCTGGGAGACCCCCACCCTCCTTCATGTTCTCCGGCGGGGTTGAGGAGGGGTTTCTGAGGAAAGGGAAGCCTGCCAGCCCCCACCCAAGGCTGGGTGGGCCCAGAAGTAGCGCAGAGGCTCCTGTGCCCCAGCCCTGGCGCTGCCATCAGCAAACTGCCATCAGCTCCATGTGACCTTTGGGCCTGCGATTTCTCATTGACTTAAGGTGGAAAAAAAAAAAAAAGGAAAATTATATCCCAGATACTTTCCACCTGCAAAATGGGGTGTTTCTGGAGGAGGTTGGGAGCATGGGCCGTAGGAGGGCCCTGGGTGTGGAGGCTGGCCCAAAGCTGTTAGTAGAGGAGGAGGTGGAGCCCAGCTCGAGGTGGAGCCAGGACGCAACCTTCTCTCCTTTGGAAGGGAGCCCTGTGAGAAGGGGGCGGCGTGGTAGGGAAGCCAGGGGAAGGTGTTTTCTAGGAAGGCAGGTGGTGTGTGGGTGTGTGGGGGGGTGGGGTGGGAACTTGTGTGGTCCTGGAAGCAGGGGAGGGAGAGACTGGTGCTGATGGGTGGCAGGGTATTCAGCTGGTCTTTCCTAAGAGGTGCCTCCCTGTCTTTGTTTTGCAACTCATATCCCTACAGGAGAGGAAGGGAGGCAGACCCGGCCGCCTTCCGAATGGCGGGGCTGCTCCCTGGATTTCAGGATTGCGTGGCGAGGGCTGGGGGATGAGGGAGACCATCATCCTCCCTGGGTGGGGGGCAGCCTGTGGAGGAGAGAGAGCATGGGTTGTGGGCTCAGAGTCCTGGGATTTCAAACCTGCTGCCTCTGCCTGTTTAATCCCTTGGAACCTTGGTCAAGTTTCTGTGAACCTGGGTTTCTTTATAAGATGAAGATAGTAACCTCTGAGCTGGCCGGGAGGATTGAAGTGAGTGGCATGGTATCTGGCTCATAATACGCACTGAAATAATCATTAGCTGTTGCTATCTCCTCTTTCTGTTCTCATCCACCTGCGCATCCCAGTCCCTTTCTCCTTTTTGTTTTTCTCCTGAGTACTCAGTTCTGAGATGCCCCGGAATGCTAAGGTGAGAATTGCTGGTTGTGCATTGGGGAGGGGAGAGGCGCTTCCAGGGGCCCAGGCAAACAAGTGCTTGTTCCTTACGTGGCCCTGCCCACGCAGGTGTCTGGTTCTGGAGAAGCTATAGGGTCTGGTTTTCTTTCATTCGGCATTCCTGTGTTTGCCTTGCTTGCCCAGGAGTGTTAAGAAGACCCAAGGTTGTCCTGGCATCGGAGCAGGTGGGGGAGTTCAAGAGGGCTTCTGGGGAGCCAGGAAGCTCAGAGAAGCTCCTCCGTAATTGACAGTTCTTTCCCTTGCACTGCCCCGGCCCTCTGTGGGGAGCTGTCCAACAAAATGCAGCGCTGTCCGAGTGCTGGCCGGAGAGCGCCGTCCTGCATTGAGGATGGCCGTGTACGGTCAACATTTTATCACTTGAGTTTCTTCATGCCGACATTGGATTCCGGTTCCCCCTCCCCAAGCAGCCCAGACCACAGCCAAGCTGCCTGCCTCCGCCACAGCCTGTACTCAGCAGCTTTTAGGCCGGGGTACAGGGCCACACTGTTTTGGAATCTTCTGGTTTGCAAAAACCTAGTGAGGTTAGGTGTGAGACTGCTCTTTGCATCGCTGCACTTCTGTGCAGGCCCTGAGGAGACACGTGGGAGTGGTTTAAAAGGAGATAAGTCGATCCTACAACCTAGGGAATCCCCCCACCCGGAGTGGGGAGACAGCAGTCCCATGGGAGACGCCCAGCAGGCAGTCTCCGAGGAGCCCTTATCCTCAGGGACGCAGGTAAGTGGGGGTGTGTTCGTGTGGGGGGCTGTCACAAAGGTAGCCTGGAGGAGGGAATATTGGATGGAGAGGCGAATAGAGTGAAAGACGCGTGTGAGGGTAACCTGAACAGTTCCCGTGCAGGGCAGGGGAGGGGAGACACTGAGTCAGGACACGCCAGGCAGAATGGGACGGGCTTCTCAGAAAGGCTCCGAATGAGAGATGAGAGACTGTGGGCCCGGCGCCAGGCAGCCACCTCGCTTCTCAGGCAAGCAGGCGTTGGGTGGTTAGTGGTGTAACCACTCGGATCGTGGGATGTACTGGAGGCAAAGCAGACCTGCTTGCTGGGCAGGCACACTGCTTCTCAGGAGGGCGGACTGGGTCTCCTGGCTCAGTCCCTGACCAGCCGTGGGACGTCGGGCCCTTGTTCCTCTCCATCCTGTGCCTTTCTCAGTGGAAAAGAGGGGCCTGCCTTGGTTGGGGGGGGTCCTCCAGGGTCTCCTGGAACCCTGACGTGTGTTCCTGAGTAAGTACCAGGCTACATTAGTGCCCCCCCACACACCCCTCTCCCGTGGGACTTGCTGAGACTGTTTGCTCATTCAGTCCCCAAGTCTGCAGGAGCCCCTGCTGGGTGCCTGTAGCGAATGGGAAGGGAAATAAATCAGGCATCGACTGTATTGGGGTGACCAGAAGCAAGGTCCCTGCCCCTTGGAAGGTTCTATGCAGTGCAGGCAGCAGATCCCTATGTCTCGTTTGAACGTTTCTGAAGGCAGGAGGCAAGATCTTAGAACCGATGGGGTGTCCCAGTGTCACGGGCAACACTTGTTTTGTAATCTCGACCATGCAAGGCGATAGCGCTGTCAGAATTCACAGGCAACTGTGTTGGAATTCCAGGGGCTGCTGCTCACAGGGGAGTGTGTAAAAGAGGGCTCCAGCTCCTGCAGCCCCCTGGGGAGAGGCTCTGCTGAGGAAAGGGTTGGTAGACGTGGAGCACACATAGGCAAGGGGTGCGGGCATGGCAGGGCCAGCACAGCCGCCCTGGGCAAAGGTGAGCAAACCCAGAGGCGCGAGTGGCTGGAGTGTGGCGTGGCTGGGGCTGGTGAGGCGTTTTGGGGAGCAGGCCCCCCCGGGGAGGTTGGTATGAGCTGGAGAGGAACTGTCTGAGGGGTATTTTAAAGAGCCTGCTGTGGCGTGGATGTAAGAAGAACAGCTGGGAGGCCGCAGCTAGAGGTCAGATGAGAAAAGATGGTGGCTTGGACGAGAAAGGTGGTGGTGCTGGGAGAGAGGATTGAAGAAGTCTTCAGGCGGGGAAGTGAACAGGACTCCGTGACGTGGCAGGAGCGAGGAGGGAGTGTGCGATGTGACACAGACTTCTCTCCTGCACAGCTGAATGGGTGGGGTGGGGGAGCCGGTCCCAGAAACGGGCAGCCCTGGGGCCAGTAGGAGGCCCCCCAAGGTGGCTGGAGGGGAGACTGCCTGGGTTAGCTTCTGACTTCCCACGCCGAGGAGGGTGGTGGGGGCAGGAGCAGGTGCAGATGCAAGGCCAAAGCAGTTGAACCCTGAGGAAGGGCTTGGCAGGGCGGAGTAGGTTGGTTCATGCCCTTTTCAGGCCAAGGTCAAGAGCAAAGAATGCTCAGGGCTGACCTGCGGAGGAGGGGTCGTTGGGGGAGATATGGAAATTGGGCACAGTGAGGCGGCTTCGTTTCAGCCAGCTCCTACCTTTCTCTGCCAGGTTCCAGGCACAAAGAAGCCCTGGGGCCTCCAAACCTTGATACAGCCAAAGCTCGTCTTGGATAGGTCATGATGCATAGGGTTGGGTGTTGAGAAGGTACAAGCACACAGTGTCTCCACCGATTTCTTGTGTGTCATCACCTTAGGGATTTCTCCACATGGAGATAGCGAGCCTCTTGGTTCTTGTGTATGCCTGCCTGGTGGTCCATCATATGCTTGTGTGTGATTTTATAGCTCCTCGCTGGTGGACTGCTGTGGTCTGGATGTGGTTGGACCCCCAGGGGTCCATGTGCTAGAAGCTTGGTCCTCAGTGGCAGTGTTGAAGGGATAGCACTTGTTAGAGGTGCAGCCTCCAGGGAGGTTGATCGGCATGGGGGGCCTGGTCCTAAAAAGGGTCTGAGTTCTTATGTGGGACCCAGAGTTAATTCTGAGGGGAGCATTGTTAGAAAGAGCAAACCAGGCCTCTCCCTTCAAGGTTCCTGTCTTGCAATGCACAGGATTTCTGTATGCGCTCTGCCATCACCATCTGCTATGGGGTCTGATGATGCCAGCAGCATGCCCTTGAACTTCTAGAACTGTGAGCTAAATAAGTCAGTCTCTCTCTCTCTCTCTTTCTCTCTCTAAGATTTTTATTTTTATTTTTTTTTGAAAGAGAGAGAGATAGGGGCCAGTGCCATGGCGCAGTAGGTTAAGCCTCCGCCTGTGGCGCCAGCATCCCATATGGGCGCTGGTTCGAGTCCCGACTGCTCCTCTTCCAATCCGGCTCTCTGCTGCGGCCTGGGAAAGCAGTAGAAGATGGCTTAAGTGCTTGGGCCCCTGCACCTGCATGGGAGACCAGAAAGAAGCACCTGGCTCCTGGCTTCGGATCAGTGTAGCTCCAGCCATTGCGGTCACTTGGGGCATGAACCAACAGAAGGAAGACCTTTCTCTCTCTCTCACTCTCTCTCTCTCTTACTATCTGTAACTCTACCTCTCAAATAAATTAATTTTAAAAATATTTTTTAAAAAAAAGAGGGGGAAAGAGAGAGAGAGAGATTGTCCATCTGCTGGTTCACTACCCAGATGGCCACAACAGCCGGCCAGGTCTGGGCCAAGCCAAAGCCAGGAGCCAGTAGCTTCTTCCAGGTCTCCCACATGGATGGCAGCAAGCAACTGGGCCATCTTCCGCTGCTTTTCCTAGGCCTTTAGCTAGGAGCTGGAACCACGGTAGGGGAGCCAGGACTTGAACTGGTGCCCATATGGGATGCTTGTGTCGTGGGTGGTGACTTTACCCACTACACCACAATGCCAGCCCCTAAATAAACCTCTTTATAGAATATCCAACCCCAGGTAGTTCATTAGAGTAACCCAAAACTGACTTATACATGTATATTTAAGGTGATTCCAGTCTTCTGTTTTAATAGGGCAATATGTCTAAGAATTCATTTTTTAGAATGAGAAGATCCTATAGAGAGGATTGGTTCCTTCATTTGTTTTCTCTCTCGTTCAGTATTTATTGAGTACCTATTATGCGCCAGATACTGTGGCAGGTCCCAGGAATCCAGCTTTCCACGGGATTCAGATGTGAGCTCTGCGCCCGTGGAACTTACCACCCTCTATGGGGTAGCGCGTGTCCAGGCAGATGTAGTAACGGAAAAGCTATATAGCGGGGAAAACTGAAACGGACATCATACGGGGAACAAACTGGAAGTAGAAACAGGAAGCCGCCTTAGAGTAAGTGATCTTTTAAGCTGGGGACGAAAGGGTAGGGTGCTGAGAGCCAGTTGGTGTGTGACAGCACCTCGCCTGCATCCTGCACGTGAGGTCAGGGTTCACGGAGGAGGGGAGGCTGCCCCGAAGCAGGTGGTGTGGAGCTAAAGAGGTGAGGCTGGGGCTGGGAGTGGAGACTTCAGATGAGGCCAGTGAGGGCAGGAGCTGGCAGCTGGGGGTAGGGGGTGGGGAACGTTCAGACTAGGGACCAGAGACTGTGCGTGCACAGAGAGCTTTGGGTTGCGTCTTTAACAGGGTTAACGGAAGTGGGGGCGCTGGAGAAGGGGCCTGTCCCTGAGTGGCTTGACCTTGCCCCCTAGGTGCCTTGGTGACCTGGAGCTCCCACAGTAAAGATGACATTGCAGGGAGCGCAGCCCGCGGTCCCCGGGCCGGCACAGAGGGCACGCTGCCCAGGGCCCAGAACTCTGAGCCCCCTTGGCCATCCTCACCCTTTCTGCCTGCCTCCTGCAAAGCCCATCTCCGTGCCCATCCTGGGTCCTATGACTTTTCTCTCCCTCAACAGTCGGTTCCCGATTCTGGTCCCCGGCCCCCAGCAGCGCCTGCCCCCTTCCCACCGGGGCCCCCCATGATGCCACCACCCTTCGTAAGTTTTCTGTGTTCCCCTGGGCTTGGCTTTTCCAGCCTGCACCACCCCCCTCTCCCTCCCCCCAGCCCCTGAGCACTGCTGCCTAGCTGGCACGGTGTTCCTGCGATGGCCCCGTCTGCTGCCCTTGGAAGAGGGGTGGCTTTGCTTGGGCACGGGGCTGGCAAGAGCTGCCGTGGAGTTCTCAGTCCCCCTTTGTCTGGAGGTAGGAGAAGGGAAGGGAAGAAGCCACCCTGCCCCGCCCCACCCCCACCCCCACGGGCGAGGACAGGGTGGGGCTGTCTTTCGATGCTCCTCGCCTGTGTTAAGTCCTCACTGAATAGCAATGGCAGTCCCAAGCCAGACACGGAGGCATGGGGGCTGGACACCTGCCTCCCGCCTCTGGTTCTGAGAGAAGCCTGTGGGTGTGGCTGAGCAGGCAGGGCCGCTGCAGGGGTGCTGTCACTCGGCCTCGCCTCTCCCTTCCCCTTCTTCTGAAGCGCTGTGCTTGCCTCTTGGCCCAGAGGTCTCCCCCCAGGCACCCGTCTGTCAGTGGTGAGGAGGGAGGCATTCCCACCAAAGCCCTTGGTGTTACCTCAGAGCAAGCAGAGGGCTCGGGCGGGGGAGGGGGGTCTTCTCGGCCTCCGACGGGCCTGTGGCTTCTCTGCTCAACACCTCTTCCTGTCCTCATTTCCAGATGCCCCCTCCAGGGATGCCCCCACCCTTTCCGCCAATGGGGCTACCCCCCATGAGCCAGAGGCCACCAGCCATTCCCCCTGTGCCACCGGGCATCTTGCCCCCAATGCTCCCACCCATGGGGGCGCCGCCACCACTCACACAGGTAATCGTCCCCCTCCCCGGGCCTCCAGGAAACCCTGCCCGTCTGACTTGGGTTGGGAGACGAGAGTGGGGATCCGCTTAAAGACCTAGGGAGGGCAGAGAGCCCCGGGCCCGGCCCCTGCGGATCTGTGGGCTGAATGACTGGGCCACCTGGGCAGCAGTGAGTGCACAGCCCCTAGGGGTTGGCTGGAAGCGCCTCCAGTGAAGGCTCTGGCCCGGGGTGATCTCAGGGCACCCCAACTCACAGGGACGCTGCCCAGCCACGGTGGCCAGACTCTTGTCTTCTTTGTGTCCATAGATTCCGGGCATGGTGCCTCCGATGATGCCGGGAATGCTGCTGCCGGCGGTGCCCGTCACCGCAGCGGTGAGCACGGGGGCTGGCAGGAAGCAGGCTCGGTCCTGCGGTCCTGTGGGTCTGACTCGGAGTTCGGGGACGCGGGCTCCGCTCTTTCCCTCTTGCATCGTTTCCGCCCTGGTCCCCGGCGGCACCCCACACTCCAGGCCTCCTCGCCAGCTGGCTCCTCCCGAAGGCACATGAGATCTGTCTGGGTGGTCCCACACTGAGGCCAGCTCCCTCTGAGGGGCACCCTCCTCACCCTCACGAGCACCCGGCCCCTCTCGCCTCCTCTGCCTCTGGAGGAGACTGGCACCTGGGGATCTCGGTGCGCCTTCCTGTGAGCTGGAGTCTGAGGAAGGTGCAGCGTTTGGCATCCACTGTGGAGAGAGGGGTCTCGGGAGCTGGCTCAAGCGAATCGGAGCCGCTGTGCAGTTCCCTTGTGGGACCCCAGAGCCAGGACCCTGAACATGGGGGGAAGCCTGTGAGGGAGCAGGGCACATGGATCCTGGCCCGGCCTGCTTCTCCACCCCCACGGCCTGGGTCCTGGGGGCCACTGGGCTTGGCCCCAACCCTTCCCCCTCCTCTTTCTTCGGCAGACGGCTCCGGGTGCGGACACCGCCAGCTGTGAGTCTTCTGGGGGCCTGCCCCCCCCAGGCTCGGAGGTTGGGGGGGCAGGGGAGAGGGGACCGTGGACTGGAGGCCACCCTGGATGGTGCCCGTTGGGATGCCAGGGAGCCTGGGCTGTTACTGGGACCAGGGGGATTTCACTGGGGCTGGCAGGAGGGAGGCACAGGTTGGGAGAAGACGGGGCCCGGAGCAGGGGCTCAGCAGTTTGCTTTGGCTTCTTTTCTAGCTGCTGTGCCTGGGACAGGCCCTCTGGTGAGTTCTTCCAGCTCGGGCGTGTCTGGGAGGAAAGCTGGGGGTAGGGACTGGTGGTTAAGTGTTCAGGGTGAGAATTGCTGTCCTGTGCCCCCTTCCCTGCAGAGGGCGCTCTGGAGCGAGCACGTGGCCCCCGATGGGCGCATCTACTACTACAATGCCGATGACAAGCAGTCCGTGTGGGAGAAGCCCAGCGTGCTCAAGTCCAAGGCAGAGGTCCTGCGCATGGGCTCCTGGCCCTCCCCAGTCCTTGGCCTCCCCCGAGTCTGTAGCCGTAGTGTCCTTACGCTTTCCCCGATCCCAAGGCCCCTGAGCACCACCCACCCTCCCTAGTCTCCCAGCACGTCCACCTGCCCCGATGCAGGCCAGGCCAGGAAGTAGCAGAAGTGTCCTCCACTCAGCGGGCCCCCACACTCCCTGGACTGTGGCTGGGAGCATGCCCAGCCCGCTGAAGTCCGCTGCTCCATATTCTTGCAGCTGCTGCTGTCTCAGTGTCCCTGGAAAGAGTACAAGTCGGACACAGGCAAACCTTACTACTACAACAACCAGAGTAAGGAGTCCCGCTGGACCCGGCCCAAGGACCTGGATGAGCTAGAGGGTGAGGGGTCCTGGGACTCAGAGGGTTTGGCCTCGGCAGGGGTTCCGGGACCCTCGCCACCTCTCTCTGACTGTGTTGTCTTTGCCCATTGCAGCTCTAGTCAAACAAGAGGCTGCAGGGTGAGTGCCTTGCCCCTGGAGCTACCAGTCCTCATACTTGGGGGGCATCCCATGGGTGGGGGCGGGGAGCGGACCCTCTCCGCATCATCCCTGCTGTGTGGGAGGAAGGGGCTCCCAGGGTAGACCCGCCAGCCCCCTGACCACCTCCATCCCTGCCCTTCTGGATTGCCCGCAGAAAGCAGAAGCCGCTGGCGCCACAGACACTACAGCCCCAGCCGCCTCAGCCGCAGCCTGACCCCCCACCTGCACCTCCCGGCCCTGCGCCCGCGTCCTCAGGCCTGCTGGAACCCGAGCCGGGTGGGAGTGGAGACTGTGATGTGGCGGAGGCCGCCCAGCCGCTGGAGCAGGGCTTCCTGCAGCCCCCGGAGGAGGGCCCCAGCAGGTGAGGGTGCCGCAGGTGCAGCCACAGGCGCTAGACTGCTCCAGCCCTGGTCCCCAGCACATTTACTCGGAAGGTTTGGAGGGTGTGGCCAGGAGAGCGCAGCGAGCTGCTGGGGGGCAGGGCGCGGATGGCCTTGGCGGCTGGGAGCCCCGGGCTGAGGCCCCTCTGCTTTCCAGTTCTGCCGCGCAGCCGCAGCCACCACAGCAGGAGGAGGAGGAACCCAAGCCTGAACCGGAGAGGTCCGGCCTCAGTTGGAGCAACCGGGAGAAGGCGAAGCAGGCGTTCAAGGAGCTGCTGAGGGACAAGGTGCTGGAGGGCGGGGCTTCCCACAGGGAAGGCCTGAAGGGGACCGGAGGCCTGCAGGCCCCGTGACCCCTGCTCGCTCCGTTCCAGGCCGTCCCCTCCAATGCATCATGGGAACAGGCCATGAAGATGGTGGTCACTGACCCCCGCTATAGGTGAGCCTGGGCAGAGGGAGCCAGGCCCTGTTCATGAGAGCCGCTGGGGCAGGGAGTCCCCGAGAAACCCCAGCTCGACACTCCAGCCCACGGTCAGGAACGTGGCAGACTGGTGCCGGGTGGAAGGGGAAGAAACCTGGAGGGCTTCCTGGGGGTAGAGGGGTACAAGTGTTTGTTGGATTGAATTGAATAGTTAACTCGGGGGGAGGGCTTGGACAGGGCATAGGTCTGGTGGGGACAGGAAGACCCCCAAAGCAAAAGGGCCTGTGTTGCTTCCTGTCAGCCTGCCTCAGACACCCGTCACAGGTCCCTGTGACCTGCTGTGGTTGTGTGGAAACCCTTCCCCAGTGTGGCCTGACCCTCTAGCCCTAACCCTGTGGCCATCCTCTGCTCCCCAGTGCCTTGCCCAAACTGAGTGAGAAGAAGCAGGCATTCAACGCGTATAAGGCGCAGCGGGAGAAGGAGGAGAAGGAGGAGGCCCGGCTGCGGGCCAAGGAGGCCAAGCAGACGCTGCAGCATTTCCTGGAGCAGCACGAGCGCATGACTTCCACCACCCGCTACCGGTCAGCAGCCGGGCCGGGCCGGACTCCTGAGGGAGGGCCCGGGGTCTCGGCTCCCGGCCGACCCGCGCTGAGCCTGTGTGCCCCACAGGCGGGCAGAGCAGACCTTTGGCGAGCTGGAGGTTTGGGCCGTGGTCCCTGAGAGGGATCGAAAAGAGGTGTATGACGACGTCCTGTTCTTCCTGGCGAAGAAGGAGAAGGTAACGGTCATGGCTGGATCCCCAGCCGCTGGAATGTCCCTCCCCTGTTTCTGATCGGCCTGCAGCCCTGGGCCTAGGAGGGCGGGGAGAGGTGGCAGAGTCCCTGGTCTGTGACTTCTGCCCTCTTGCCTTCCCCATGACACGAGGGTCAGGGTCTGGCTCTCCTCCTCCGGTCTTTAGCTACTTCTACCCTGTTCCCCGCCCCCCGCCAAGGCCCACTTGGGTAGCCCTGGCCTGCTCTGCCTCACCCCACGCTGTGGCTTCTCAGGAGCAGGCCAAGCAGCTCCGGCGCCGCAACATCCAGGCCCTGAAGAGCATCCTGGACGGGATGAGCAGCGTCAGCTTCCAGACCACCTGGTCGCAGGCCCAGCAGTACCTCATGGACAACCCCAGCTTTGCTGAGGACCATCAGCTGCAGAGTGAGCCCAGCTCCCCACCCCCAGCTGGCCCTTCTGCCCTCCTCACTGGCCTGGGGCCCGGCAGCCCTCCACACACCACCTCCTCCTGCCCTCCTGGATGCGTCCTCCACGGTGGACATGGATAGTGTGTGTGTGTGTGTGTGTGTGTGCGTGTAGGAAGTGACGCTACAGCTCCTAGGGCTGTGTTCTTAGGCCAATCCAGCGTGTCTGTCACAATCAGAGACTCCCGCTCCGAGGTGGCATCAGAGCCCGTCTGATCCCCACTTCCCTAGGACGTGCCACCCCGGATCCCAGGAGGGTCTCCTGTCCTGGCTTCTGATAATGTGAATTCACAAGTGCTGAGGAGCCACCATTGGCAGTAGCTGCCCACACAGAGCCCTGCCCCCCACCGCTGTCCCCGCCACTCTGGGGTGCTGGGGTCGGAGAGGGGGTTCTGCTGGCGGCACTCACCGAGCCGCCCCACCTTTAGACATGGACAAGGAGGATGCGCTGATCTGCTTCGAGGAACACATCCGAGCTTTGGAGAGGGAGGAGGAGGAGGAGCGGGAGCGGGCCCGGCTCCGGGAACGGCGTCAGCAACGCAAGAACCGGGAGGCCTTCCAGGTATCTCCGCTCCGCCCCAGACCACAGCCTTTTCCCTTGCCCTGCCTCCTCTCGGCCCCACCGCCTGTCCCGCCTCTTGCCTTGGCACTGTCCCCCCCGAACTCTGGCCTGTGCTGCACCTGGAGACTGGCTGTGTCTTCACCTGGAGCTGCCAGGGCCTGGTTGTTTCCTTTGGGTGGGCAGCCGGACAGGCTGAGCTTGTCCGCAGTTGGGGGTGGCGGTGGCGAGGATTCCTTAGCTGCAGGTCAGGAGCTGGGCGCCAAGTCACGGGCAGAGGGTCCTGCGGGCAGAGGTCTGCCTGCCTGCCTGCCTGCCTCCCTCCCAGGCTGGATCCTTCTCAGTGTCCTGTTCCTTGTCTGTGTTACATTCTCTCCTTGCATCCTCTGCTGCCCTCAGGCGGGATGGTCCCCTGCTCCCCGCTGCCCTTCCCTCCTCCTTGTCTGCAGCCTCTGGCTCTGCCTCCCTCCCCGACTCATGCCCCGTAACTGGCCTCTCCCCGCCCAGACCTTCCTAGATGAGCTGCACGAGACAGGGCAGCTGCACTCCATGTCTACCTGGGTGGAGCTGTACCCAGCAGTCAGCACTGACGTCCGCTTCGCCAACATGCTGGGCCAGCCGGGTAAGGCAGCCAGGCTCCCCGACTCCGGTCTGGTCTCCTGCCCTGCTGGCCTCTGCACCCCTGCCTGGTCCTGTCCTCGACCTTACCCCCAGCCAGACCTGGGGAAGCTGCCACCCGCCAGGCCACCCTCCCTCCCTCCCTGCAGGCTCCACCCCTCTGGACTTGTTCAAGTTCTATGTGGAGGAGTTGAAGGCACGGTTCCATGATGAGAAGAAGATCATTAAAGACATTCTTCAGGTGAGGGAGGTGGGTGGCTGCAGGCTGGGTGCAGGCTTGGCTCCCTGCACAGGACTCTTGGGCCTGCGAGGCTCTGCAGTGATCCCTTACCCTGCCCGGGGGCTACAGCAAGGAATAAGACACCTGCCCCTAGGAGCTCATGGCCTGCTAGGAATAGAGACCTGAGCGCTGTTCCCCGGGAGGCCTGTGCAGATGACAGAGATGGGAGCAGGGAGCGATCACATTTGCCCTGTGCCTTTAGGAATGACAAGGGGAAGAGGGGGAGCATTGTGGGCATAGGGTGCCACAGGAGCAGAGGCCCATGGGAAAGCATGGCGGGTTGGAGCAAGAAGCATACCCGGTCGTAAACTGGGAGCCCACAGAGGAGTTCTGGCCTGAACTGTGTTTTAGAAAAACCTGGAGTGTGTTGGTTTAAGTCTAGTGATCTCACGTAGAAACGTAGGTCTTCGGCTGTTCCTGGCTGTTCGGGTTATGTAGCAGCGCCATGCTGCTTTTGCCCCGGGCTGTCCGTGGACTGGCGCTGAGCAGCCAGTGCCCTTTTGGCAAGGGCGAGCCGTCCTTCTCCTCTCACGTGCTCTGTGGCGTCTCTCCGGCTCAGCACCTGGGGAGGCCACATGACTTTTCTCAGCCCGTGTCCTCGTCCCCAGATGAGGGTTTCAGCATAATTACAGAGGAGAGGGATGTGGTGCCTGCATTGAGAAGGAGCTGGGAATAAAGTTCCATATACCCTCCCCCACCCCCAACATGCACGTAAAATCTCTTTGAAGCCTTGGGCATCGCCTGACAAACTCAGGCAGCTGTTGCATCTTAATTGCACACTGACCTGTCGGTGAACTCTAATGCAGCCTTTTACATCAGCATAGCTGTTGGGTAGGCTACTGTCCCGTGGCGTCCCCCATTTCTCTAGCGCATAGAAGCCCCAGGTGGGAAGTAAGAGCCCTCCACGTAAAAAGCCTTGAAGGCTAAATTACGAAGTCTGGCTGTGGATATGGGAAGGCACGAGGCGCTGAGGGTACAGTGGCACCTGCGGGGCACGAGGACTTGTGTCCTTAGCAGAGGACAGTTCTCCCAGCCCCAGGATAGTGACTGTGACAGTGGCAGGTGATGCAGTACGTTCCCAAGCTTGAGTCACTCACCTCTGACTCAGCCCCAGACCTCTCTGGTCGTCAGGGCTCCTTGGTACAAACTTGGAGAAGGCCTGGATGCTAGAGGTGGGGTTAGGGATGGGAGGGAGCAGTCAGGCGCTGTTCCTAGGAGGCGGGAGAGCTCCAGGCCAGCTGTGCTCCTGGGATACCCTCAGCCTCTGTGACCCTGGGGCCCTGCAGACCAGCGGTGTGCACAGGGAGGTTTTATGTTTCTTCCCCTATTTTCTTTTTAAATAGTTTGAGAGACAAAAGCTCTCAACTGCTGGCACCTGCTCCCCAAGTGCCTCTAACAGCCAGGTCCCAAGGGGCCAGCAGGAACCCAATCACTTGAGCCATCCCCGCTGCTGCCCAGCTCCACTTGAGCAGGAAGGGGTAGTCAGGAGCTGCAGCTAGGACTCGAACCCAGGCACGCAGGGTGGGACATAGCCTTCATCAGCGTCTTCATTGCTAGGCTAAAGGCCTGTGCCTTCCCCATTTCCACATAGAGCAGCTTGCTTCTTCCATGCACAGGCGTTCTACTGAAGAAGGATGTCCAAAACCTTTAAAACCAGGCACTAAGCAGTAGCAGTGGTTTGTGAAATTGAGGGAAGGGAGGGGTCGAGGGGCGGGGCTGTGGTTGTGGCACCATGACAGGGATCATGCAGGGAGAGTTGGGCCAGAAGGAAACCAATGCCATTGGGAGAATTGTTCTCCAGAGCAGCCTGGAGCAGGGAGCACTAATACACACACATGTATATGTTTTAAAGATTGATTTGTGTATTTGAAAGGCAGAGAGAGAGAGAGAGATCTTCCATCTGCAGGTTCACTCCCCAAATGCTCACAGCAGCCCAGGCTGGGCCAGGCCAAAGCCAGGAGCCAGGATCTCCATTCTGGTATCCCACACGTGTGACAGGGGTCCAAAGACTTGGACCATCTTGAGCTGCCTTCCCAGATGTGTTAGCAGGAAGCTAAATTGGAAACAGAGTATCCAGACCCCAAGCCCGCACTCCAGCAACGTGGGATACCAGCGTCACAGGCAGCAGCTTGACCCCTTGCACAAGACTGGCCCCAACTGCACATTTTCAACGGGATAATCTTATGAAGTAAAAAATACTTGATCTCATGGTTACCTCAATTTCTCTGGTTAACTGTTAGCCATAGACTGGCTGGTACTGTCAGTAGGCCCATAGGGGTCCTGCCTTGCTGAGAACATAGCTTCTTAGACCATTCCCATGTACTGTGCCATTTGGGCTCCTGCCTTTCCCTGTGGCCACGCACAGCCAGGCTGAGCGAGGACCCCTCTAGTCCTGTTAGGGTAATGCAGAGCCTGGGGTTTGCAGCAGGTGGAAGACATAAGCCCAGGGCCTGGCAGAGCCGGGTTTGTGGGGAAATGTGCTCTCTGGGGGAGCTGTTGAACTTGGCGTTATCTGTGGACTGCCCTGTCTAGTGTGGGTCTTGGAGCCAGCAGGGAGGTGAGGGCCAAGGTTGCTGGGGCGAGTACGGGCAGTCCTTGGGAACAGTGCATGCAGGGGAAGGAGTGGTGGCAGAGGTCAGACAGGGGCCATTGCAGGAGTAAATACAGCAGCACTGGAGACAGGGGAGCGAGGACTGGGGAGCAGCCCTTGGATCTGGCTTTGAGAACACAAGCAACCTTGGGAGGAGCGGTGTCCATGACGGTGGCGTGGAGGCAGCACCTGTCTTAGAATCAAGTAATGCCTGGCTGTGGATCTCCACAGGTTACACATGGACTCTGTGAAAGGCGGAGGGAGAGTCCACGCTCAAGGCTGTGAGAAGTAGTGCATGGGGGTTCTTGTAATGGGCTCTCAGGGAGTGAGTGGTGCCTTTCAAGAGATTTGGAAACAAAGAAGGAGCGGAGGGAGTCAGCTTGGGAAGACAGAGCCAGGTGGAAGGGATGTGCCCAGGTGTGGGGTGCTTGGTGGGAGGAGCCCCGGGAGAGAGAGGATGATGTTTGAGAAGGGCTGCAGAGTGTGGGTTTGGGGTGCCCTGGGAAGCAGCAGGCCTCTGCCCTCTAGGGAGGGCTCTTAAGCTGTGTGTGGGGAGGAAGGGACTCCAGCCTGTGCCCACCAGTTCCACCTCCGCCTCTTGTCATCTTGAGCTGAGTGAGACCGCTTTTCTAAGTCCTTGGGAAGTGTGGTGCCTGCAGAAGAACAGGTACGCGCACACCTGTTGCTCCCGGGGTGAGAGAGCTGGAGTTCTTGCTTGGCCATCATCTATCAGCTGTGGGAGCTGAGCAAGCACCCGGGACCCGTTGTTAAGCTCAGAACCGGGGGGACAAAGTGAGAAGGCGTGCAAAGCACACCACCCACAGGAAGCCCTCAGTAGACAGGGCCAGAGGCGGGGCAGCAGCAGGAGGCTGAGACTGCACGGGGGCCAGAGGTTAAGGCCAGAGGCACAGAACTGGCCATGAGGGACTCAGGCACCAGGTGGCAGACACCTCGCCGCCCTGCAGCTCTGTGACATCGGGCACAAGGCTGGGCGTGGGGCCGAGGCCCAGGCAAGGATGAGGACGCAGCAGCTCGGTTTCTGAGGCATTGGCCATGTGGATCTCCTGGGGGCAGGAGATTCTTGAGTGTCCGGTGCTGGGACTCTGCCTGCTGGCTCTGGGCCTCAGCCCAGGGTGCCCCCCGCTTCATGTGCCGCTGTGCCCACAGGACCGGGGCTTCTGTGTGGAGGTGGACACGGCCTTTGAGGACTTCGCCCACGCCATAAGCTTTGACAAGAGGGCTGCCGCGCTGGACGCAGGCAACATCAAGCTGACCTTCAACAGTGTGAGGGGCTGGGTGTGGTGGCGCCCACCTCCAACACCTCAGGGTTCTGTCCCCTGGGGGCAGCCCAACCCCGACCTCTGCCTCCTGAGCTGTGGGCGCGGGCCCTGGGCCCCAGGCCGCCAGTGACGCCGCTGTCCTGTGTCCCTTCTGCCCACAGCTGCTGGAGAAAGCAGAGGCGCGGGAGAGAGAGCGGGAGAAGGAGGAGGCGCGCAGGGTGCGGCGCCGGGAAGCGGCCTTCCGAAGCATGCTGAGGCAGGCCGCACCTGCTCTGGAGCTGGGCACTGCCTGGGAAGAGGTCAGCAGTGCAGCCTGAGCGCGGCGGCGGCACAGCCCCCCGGGGCCCACGCCGGCCCTGTGCCCGTGGGCCCAGGCTGATGAGCAGTGCTCTCCCCGTTCAAGGTCCGCGAGCGCTTTGTGTGTGACTCAGCCTTTGCACAGATTACTCTGGAGTCGGAGCGGATCCGGCTCTTCCGCGAGTTCCTGCAGGTGCTGGAGGTGAGGCAGGTCTCCTCCCTCCAGCCTGTGCCAGGCCCTTGCACTCCTCTGGCCAGAGCTCGGTGGCCACAGCCATCAGGAAGGGGAGGCCAGGGGGAACCCGGGACGGGCTGGCGGCTGTAGCCACGAGGAGGAAGCAAAGCCAGGGAGAGGAGGCGGAGCCCTCGCTGAGGCCCAGCCTCACTCTCTCCCTCTGCTTCCAGCAGACCGAGTGCCAGCACCTGCACACCAGAGGCCGGAAGCATGGCAGGAAAGGCAAGAAGCACCATCACAAGCGGTCGCACTCACCCTCAGTGAGTGACAGGGGAAGGGACTGCCTGGGGAAGATGGACAGCTCAACAGGAGGCCCTGGAGCCTCCTCCCTGTCCCCAGTTCCCAGAGGAGGGCTCCCGAAAGCCAGGGGACCTCCGCGCTGACCTGTTCTGTTGATCCGCCCAGGGCTCTGAGTCCGAGGAGGAGGAGCTGCCCCCACCATCCCTCCGGCCCCCCAAGCGGAGGCGGCGGAACCCCTCGGAGTCCGGCTCGGAGCCCTCTTCCTCACTTGATTCAGTTGAGAGTGGGGGTGCTGCCCTTGGAGGACGGGGCTCCCCGTCCTCTCACCTCCTCCTTGGGTCAGGTAGGCAGCCTGGGTGCCAGTGGCCAGAGGACTGCTGGCCCTGGTTGAGCCCCCACCCCCATCAGGAGGGGGCTGGGAGGGCCATACCTGTGGGGAGGTACTTCCTGTTCCTTGCAAGGAAAATGGCTGCCTCAGACCCGTCTGGGAAGCATGAGCAGAGGGGCCAGGGCCAGGAATGCGCCCCCCTCCCTCGGTCCTGGTGGAACGTAACAGGGACTTCTCCCTCCAGCAGACCATGGCCTTCGGAAAGCCAAGAAACCAAAAAAGAAATTGAAGAGAAGACACAAGTCGGTGAGTGCAGAAGGGACTCGCACCTAAGGCTGCTGCTCCGTGAGATCGGCTCCACCCGCCTCCCAGGCCGCCCTCCTGAGGGCTGACGGCAGCGGGCGCTCTGGGCTCTTCCAGAACAGCCCTGAGAGTGGGAGCGGGCCTGAGGAGAGAGCTGGCAAGGAGAGTGAGGAGCAGGAGCAGGACAAGGCCAGGGAGCTCCGGCAGGTGGAGTTCCCTCGCCGCGCCCCGGGCCTCAGCATCAAGAAGGAGAAGGTGAGAGGCAGCGGCCCCGGCAGGCTCGGCCAGGCCCCCCAGCCCCTCGGTGGAGGCCCCAGGGGTGAGCTGTGCCTTTGCTCCAGCAGACAGGCTGGGACACATCGGAGAGCGAGCTGAGCGAGGGCGAGCTGGAAAGGCGGCGGCGGGCGCTCCTGCAGCAGCTGGACGACCACCAGTGAGCGGCCGCGCCGCTGCCGCAGCCTGCTGAGGGCCTGGCTCCCTGCCAGACCCCTCCTCGGTCTGGTCTGTGTCTGCTTTTCCTGACCTCCCGGCCCCACCCCTCCACCTGCTAGCACCTCTCAGGGCTGCCCTTGGTGTTGTGGGCCCCCAGCCCCAGAGAGCTAGTGCAGCCCTCGCCCTCGGCCCCAGAGTGGGGTGGTACCAGTGAAGCGTGAGCCAGGGGCCTCCAGGGAAGAGTGACGGACAGGCTGGTGGACACAGCCTGGGCGGCAGAGGGCTGGGCCCTCGCCCTCTACCGACACCTTCTAGCCCGCTCCTGCCTGCCCTGGCCCTGGGCCTCCACCACGTCCTCCTCCAGCCTGGGGACCCGATGTATGTGTGTTTAGGTTTGGTTTGGTTTTCATTTTTTAAATAACAATATTTATAACGCAGCTGGAGACTCGTCTTCTGCATGCACCTCTGGGCAGGCTGGCGGCTGGGTGGGTGCGTGCGCGCGTGCGTGGCCAGCAGGGGGCGCCAGTGGATCAGTCAGCCTGCCTCTTTGTGTGGCCGCAGCCCTGCTCCCGCCTGCTTCTCCCCACAGCCTTCTGAGCTCATCTTCCCCACACGGATGCAGCTCCTCACCCCCAGACCTCTCCCTACCCCTGTGGCTGAGGTCCAGCTAAATGACCACCCTCAACCCCTCCAGACTGAGAAAAGAGACCGAGTCAGACCTGGTGCCTCCAGCCTTTGTTGAGAGGGAAGGTCTGCGGTTTATGTACAAGAGGAAAGGCAGGGGACATGTACAAAAAGAGGCGGGCCCCATGCTCCCTTCTAGGGGCTGGAAAAGAACTGGCAGGGAACTGAGCCAATATCCGAGACCACCAGGCTCCCCGCCCCCTGCCAAAATATACCCCAAACAACAAAAACAGAAAAAAAAAAAAAAAAACACAAAACCCTAGCTGAGGAAGGAGGGGGAGGTTGTTGGCACACGCTCTGTCCAGCAGGGACAGTCAGCCCAGGATGGGACAGGCCAGGGCTAGGGGCGGGGAGCCTGGCCCCTCCTCCTCCTCCTCCCCCTCCCTCCCCACTAGGGCACCGTAGGCGGGCCCTGCTCCTGGCAAGAGATGACCTGAGACTGGCCGATCTTCCGGTTCAGAGGCGACCATGGGACAAATGGCAGCACGGATGTGAATGTGGATGTTTGCTCCCCCACCTCAAGCCTCCGGGCTTGGCGCGAGAGGGCCACTGTGCTCCTGTGCAGGCCAAAGCTGGACGTGGTTCTTCCCAGCCCTGGGCTGCCCTTGGGGACGAGGTGCGGTACAGGAGGCAGCGAGGGAGTGCGGGGCTCCAGGGAGCCAGCCAGGGCCGCACCCAGGGGCTGGGCTTGCAGGAGTCTGGGGGCTGAGTACTTCTGCCCCCAGCAAGGCCTCAGTGGGGGCCTGGAGCCCGAGGGGGGCCGCTGGGCGGGGCAGCACTCCTGGCTTGGTGGCGAACAACGATGGGCTGGCTGTGGAGGCCTGTGAATGGGGAAGACAGGTCCGTGAATGGGCAGGGAGGCGGAGCCGGGGTGGCACCTCTACACATGGCTGCGCCCCACAGGCAGGGCCAGGGAGGAGCCAGCCACGAGGTCGGGACAGGCCGGGTGGGTGGCTGGCGCATCCCTAGAACTTTGCAGTTTCTGAGGAGTAAGTAAGGAGGTAACTGGGGGCCGCCGGCAGTGGGCAGAAAACGATGGAGTGAGACCCCAGGCCAACAAGATGTCAGGGAACGGAGCTCAAGTGCCCCTGCCTGGCCCAGGCAGCAGCTCCTGCCCAGCGCCTGTGGGTGCAGAGAACCCCAGGGGGAGGCTGGGGCCGAGGAATGGCTACTCCTCCCTCAGATGCCAACCCTGGGACTGCTCATGCCTGCTCTGGCACAGCTCCCAACCCTAGCCCTCAGGTCTTAGTAGAAGCCAGGATGGCATTAGTGGGGGAGAGGCTGTTTCCCTGAGGGCACATGCAGGGGAAGCCATGCTTCTCGGAGCTCGGGGCCCGCGAGAAGGACGCGTCTCCATGACTGCGAGTCATGCAGAGGGGCATGCAGAGGGCAGCTGTGGTGCCCAGTACCTGTCGGGCCCAGCCCTGGGGGCTAACAGTTTGACTCATCGTGGTGGGCTGCATCGCAGAAGAAGCGTGAGCCCCGCTTGGCAGTACGAGCCGTGAAAGGGACACTCTTCAGCACTGTGGCCCAGGAGAGAGACAGCGGTCAGCCCGCGCGGGGGTGGGCTGGGCGGCCCCGGAGGGAGAGGCCCCCACCTGTGATGATGTCCTCGATGGCACCGTCCTTCCCCTCGTACACGGGCCGGTGCTCCTTGGCCTGGCGCCGCCTCAGCTCCGCAATCAGCTCCTGCTGTTGCCACTTGTTCCGCTGCGATGGGGTCTGGAGCCAGGCGTTTGCAGGGGAAGAAGGGGTCACTGACGCGTCCCCAGGCCCCGGACACTTTGGCCCCCACGTCGCCCTCCCCCAGGCTGACTCTTGGCCCCACCCACCTTGGCGTCCAGCTTCTTGGCTTCCTGAGCAAGCTGCTTCTCTCGCATCACCTCCTCCTGTTTCTTGCGGGCTTCGTTCTCTTGTTCTGCTTCCTAAGAGGGGAAGTGAAGTAGGGGTGAGGCTGGGCTGCCACCGAGGTGGAGAGTGGGTGGCAGTGGGACCAGCTAACCCCAGGTGGCCACCCTCTGGAGGGGCACTTCCTGCCCGAGACAATGACAGGAAGGGCCTGGGCCCCCACCCTGCCCACCAGCTCACAAACGCAGAGGCCTGTCACCAGCCTCCACAGCTCCCTCCCCAAGATGCCGAGGAGGACTCGGAAAAGGCCCCCCTCCCCTGCCCCCAGCCACTCCCCCGACCTTTTTCTCTCTGCCAAACTCCTCTCAAAACCTCTCTCTAGCTTACCTTGTAAGAACGGATGAACCGGACAAACACCGGGAAGAACACTGAAGGGGGTGTGGTCTTAGGACTCTCGCCAAAGTAGCGCACAACAGCGTTGTAGGCCTCCTGGGGGGGTAGGATGTAGGGGGGGGGTCAGCCTGGCAGGAAGGAGAAGCCCCGCTCCCACGCCAGGGACAGGAGGCCCACACAGGGCAGAGGGCAGGGCTCAGCGAGCCGGAGAGCTCCCGAGTGACCACCTCCCGAGGGGGCTGCCACCCCAGCCCTCTCTCCCGGACAGCTCGCCCGGCCCGCTCCCGCGCCACCCCACCCCGCCCCTGCTAGCCTCCGCCGTCTTGGCGTCGCGCTGGAGCTTGTCCAGTTTGCCTTCGTTGGTGCTGAGGAAGCTGCGGAGGACGCTGTTGTCGTGCAGGCTGCACTCCCGCCGGATCAGCTCCATGCCCCGGCCCAGCTCCTTGACGTCGAGCAGCACGTTCTCCAGGGACACTGCGGTCACAGGGGCCTGGCTGAGGCTGCCCCCCCGCCCAGCACGGCGCACTTGGGTGCACTCGCGTGTGGGGGCCCGGGAAGGGAATGGAGGCAGTGAGCACAGGAGCCACAGAGGCCGGTCTCCATGACAGCAGCTCCGTCTCTCACAGTGGGGGCAGGAGTAGCTAAGAGCCACCCAGGTCCACCACGCTGCAGAGTTGCATGGAGTCTCGGGGCCAGCCCAAGAGAGCCGGGAAAGACCCAGGCCCCCTTCCTGGTCCTGCCCACTGTGCACCTAGCTGGGAAGGCTGGGCTCGGCCTGGTGCCTGGAGGAAGGCTCCCTCAGCGGAAAGCTTTGAAGTTGTCAAAAAGCAGATAACAAAAGCCAGAAACCAACGGACCCCAGCACTATCCTCCTGGCTTCCTGGGATTGTCCTGGGCCCGGCAGGCTCCCCTCACCTGCCGCAGCCTTCTCTACAAAGTGCAGCTCGTGCCAGAAGTTAGCCAGCTCCGGGTATTTCTCTTTCACTGTCAAGGCGATGAAGTGCAGCAGCGTCATCTTCCGGTCAGTGGACTTGGTGTCCAGGAGCTGGCCAGGGGCGGGGCAGAGCGAGCACTAAGCACCCTGGCTCTGCAGCTGCTGCCCCAGGCCTTCCTGGCCCACGCAGCCTCACCATCTTACCAGATCCAGGCTCTGGAGCTTGAAGCCGTACACAGCTCCCCGCTTGCTACTGTTCATGTAGTTCCCCAGTGCAAGAATGATCTGTCCACAGATACACAGGCGGCAGGGTCAGGCCAAGCCCTGCAGGCCCCGCCCCCCGCCTCCCCCCAGGACCCGAGTGCCACCAGCAGCCCTGTCCATAGCTTTGCCCCACCTCCAACATCTGCTTCAGCTTCTGCGAGGACTTGACAGAGGCTGAGGCCGCAATGATGGCGTTGAGTTGCTGGAAGGCGAACAGGGACACTCGAGTGACAACCAGGCTGGGATGGGGCGAAGGGAGGCTGGGGGGGGAGGTGAGCAGCAGGTGCAGGGGCCGTACCGGCGTGAGCATCTGGAGGTTGTCCTGGAAGTTGCCCAGGAAGGCCATGCCGGCCATGCGCTGCGTCAGCCGCTCCACCTTGCTGAAGAGCAGCATGAAGCGGTCCTCGGCCGCCAGCTCCTCCAGGGGCTGCCGCTCCCGCTCGTACTGCCGCAGCAGCTTCACCTCGGCCTCAGTGGGCAGGAAGCGCATGAGGCACTCGACGAAGTCCACGGGCAGTGTCTGCAGGTCAAACCTGCAGGGGCCGGAGGGCACCCTCAGCGCACGCTGGCCCTCTTCCCCGCCACCCCCACCAGCCCCTGGTTCTCCAGCTCAACAAAGGCTGGGCGTGGGGGAATGTGTGTGACACCCAGCCAGAGGCAAAGGGCTCTTGGCACAGTATGGCAATCCTGGGGAACATTCCATGCTCCTGAAGCTTTTTTTCTGTTTTGTTTGGATTGTTTGTGTATCTATCTTTCTGAAAAGCAGAATGAGAGAGAGAGAGAGAGAGAGAGGGAGGGAGGGAGGAAGGGACAGAGAGAAAGAAAAATAGCTTTAATCTGCTGGTTTACTGCCCAAATGCATGCCGGGAGCTCCATCCAGGTCTCTCCCACATGGGTGGCAGAACTCAAGTACTTGAGCCATCATTCACTGCCTCCCAGGCATATCGGCATGAAGCATGATGGGAGGCAGAATAGCTAGGACCTGAACCAGGCGCTCCAGTCTGTCTGGCATCCCAAGTGGTGGCGTAACTCGGCCCAATGTTGGCCCCAGTGCTCCTAGTTAAAAGTCCTCCCATGTCTTCCTCCTGCCCCCAGGATGAAGTCCAAATGCCTGAGCGTGGCTCAGGAGGCCCGCTCCTCTACGCTGTCTCGCCTGTTCCCCTCCCTACACTGAGGCCAGGCTCCACTTCAGTACCCAATGCACCACGCTTCTTCCTCCGGGCCCTGACCTGGACTAATCTGTGTACTGATCACCAGGCTCAGCGACGTGGCCCTGGGCTGCGGCCTGCTTGGTGGAACTGCCCAGTGTGGCTGCACTGTCCCGTTAGACTGGGAGCTCCTTGGGTGCAGGTCTGGGCTGAGTCCCAGCTCCTCACACAGTGCGTGCCACACACCAGAGGCAGGACGTTTGGCCAGGCCAGGGGATGACCGTGGGGCGGCACACAGAGTTCTGTCAGAAGCCCTGCGATCTAGCAAAAGCCATGCTCCTCGGTGGAGAGCTGGGCTGGGGGCCAGGGCCAGGTCAGCGGGAGCCTCACGTGTGGACGGCCCTGCAGATCTCCTCGGCTGAGCGGCCGGCCTTGCGTAGGGTGATGGCCAGGTTCTTGGCACGATTGGCTTCCAGCAGGGTCACCTTGCTGGCGGCCTTTTGCGCTGTCTTATTCTTGGAGCAGATGAGGTCCAGGGCAGGGCCCTGGGCTTTCGTCTTGAACAGTTCTTCGAACTTGTCCAGGTCCAGGTCCTGCAAAGGGTCAGCGAGAGCAGGCTGTTGTGGCCGCGTTCCACTAGAGCCAGCGCCCTCTGCATGGTCCAGCTGGAGCTCGAGCAGCTGCCAGGGCCCCCGTTCTGTCTGAGGACTTCTCCAGGGCCTCCAGTCAGCCCGGGCCCCAGCCCGACACCGCCCTGGTTACCTCTAAGACCTTCTCGTCATCAAGCTCACTGAACACAGTGCCGCTGATCTGGTTGGGTTTCAGGGCCGTCCAGTTGAAAACGGGCAGCCGGAACTTGGTCTTGATCGGCTTCTTGATGCGAATGGCTGGCGAGGGAGGGGGAGCAGAGAGGCCCGGGTCAGGGACACCCCCCCTTGGCCTCCCAGCCCTGCCCAGGGCCCTGGGGGACACTCACCTGACAGACCCACGGTCAACACCACAGAGGGGGCTGCGCCAGGGAGGGGTGGGGCTGGGGGACACTTGTCTGGGGAAACAAGAACGGCCCAGTGACCAGGGGCTCAGGACACTCCACGGGCTCCCGCCCCGTCCATGAGGACTCCGATGGCCTCTGCCCACCTAGGCCCTCTCCTGTGAAGAGCAGCATCTCGTGTCAGACCTCACCCCCCTCAGCCCTTCCTCCCCAGCCCACAGACAGCGTCGCGGTCCCAGCTTCCCGCGAGCAACACACTGCTGACTGGGGTCTAGGTCCCCACAGTGATGCAGCCCCTCCTGGCTCCCAGGGATCCTGATTACCTGGTAACGGGGGAGGTGGAGGAGGCAAGGGAGGTGCTGGTGGCGGAGGCAGGGGCAGGGCCTCCTCGGATGGTGGGGCTGGAGCCAGCGGGTCCAGCTCAGAGGCTGGGCTGCCCTCACTCAGCTCCGCAGGGCCTACCCTGCCCAGGGCCTCGCTGCCCATGGAATCCAGGCCCCGAGCACTGGGCTCCAAGTGGCACCGGCGCTGGAAGGCCTCCTCCTTCTCCTTAATGAGCCTCCGCAGGGTGTGCACCTGGTGGCTCGTGTTCTCGTACGTCTCCTATCGGACAGGGAAGCGCGGGCTGAAGGCACAGCACTCACTGCCTCCAGGAGTGAGAAGAATCCCTACCCAACTCGTAGTGATCCCTGAGTATTTTAAAATGTACTGGGGCCAGCGCTGTGGTGTAGTGGGTAAGGCTGCAGCCTGCAGTGCCAGCATCCCATATGGGCACCCGTTCGAGACCCAGCTGTTCCACTTCTGATCCAGCTCTCTGCTATGGCCTGGGGAAGTAGAAGATGGCCCAAGTCCTTGGGCCCCTGCAGCTGCATGGGAGGACCTGGAGGAAGCTCCTGGCTCCTGGCTTTGGATTGGCACAGCCCCGGCCATTGTGGCCAATCGGGGAGTGAACCAGTGGATGGAAGACCTCTCTCTCTCTCTGCCTCTCCTTCTCTCTGTGTAACTCTTTCAAATAAAATGAATAAATCTTAAAAAAAAAATTGTACTGTATATGAATGCAATTGCCATCTTTTCATTTGAACATTGTTTATAGCCCTCCCTATGTTCCTGGCCTTTTATTTGCTGAATGCTATTTAGTGGTGCATTAAAGCCTTTGGCTACATATAATGTAAGTTAAAAATGTTATTTCAAAAATAGAGAAGAAAAAAGCCAAGGGCCGGTATACTAGGGTGTCTGGGAGGGTGCTCAGAGGGGCGGAGAACCCACTGGAGGGCCGGGGAAGCCGTATGTAGAGCAATGGGGGAGTGGGGAGACCCGGCCGGCACCTAACGTGTGTCTCTGCTCCTGTCCATTGTCACCACGGGGCCCTCAGGCCCACCTAGGAGGCTGCCGCTGAAGCTCTGCTCAGCCCTCAGCCGCTCAGACTCACTACTGCTCGTATCTCATCTGGCTGCACATAAATAAATGCTCAGTTGGAAGCACCTGGGCACCCCTGGGCCTCCCGAGCTCCTGACACAGCACCACGCAGGGGCTGGTAGGCCCCCGTGGAGCTCAGCGTGCAGTGATTTGTATTTTAAAGGAAGCTGGGGGGGGGGCGGGTAGGGAGGACCTTGTCACACGACCTTGTAACAGAATGTTACTTTGAGGGAACAGAGAGGAGAATGAAATACTGGGTGGTCTCCCTGTCTAGGAAACCAGGTCCTAGGGTGTCTCCAGGGGCTAAAGTGTGTGGAGCTGCAGAGGCAAGGCTGGGAATGCAACAGGGCAGGATGACAGGAGCCTGAACTGGGACCCCCAGAGGAGCCCACTGGAGGTACCCCTCTCTGCACCTAGCCTCTTCTTTTTTTTTTTTTTTTTTTGACAGGCAGAGTGGACAGTGAGAGAGAGAGACAGAGAGAAAGGTCTTCCTTTGCCACTGGTTCACCCTCCAATGGCTGCCGCGGCCGGCACACTGCGCTGATCCCATGGCAGGAGCCAGGTGCTTATCCTGGTCTCCTATGGAATACAGGGCCCAAGGACTTGGGCCATCCTCCACTGCACTCCCTGGCCACAGCAGAGAGCTGGCCTGGAAGAGGGGCAACCGGGACAGAATCCAGCGCCCCGACCGGGACTAGAACCCGGTGTGCCGGCGCCACAAGGCGGAGGATTAGCCTTTTGAGCCACAGCGCCGGCCTGCACCTAGCCTCTTCTGTGTGTTTGGCCCACTGTGGCATCAGCTTCCCTTCCCAGCTAAAAACTGATGGAGTAAAATCATCAGCCCACCCTTGTCTGAGTGTAGCAAGAGTACGTTAAGATTCGGATGCTGGAGAACTGGACATGACTCAGGACAGAATGGAAGCCCCAGGCACGGGGGCCCAGTTGGCCGGGGCCCCCCCCAGGCCACGTGGTACCTTGATGCTCTCGAGCTCCTTCTCCCGCTGCAGCAGCTGCTTCTCCAGCTCCGCCACCCGCATCATGTTCTCGTTCTCCAGGTCCAGAAGCTTCTCTGTGAGCTGCCGGATGGCACATGCAGATCAGGCCTGGGCACTTAGTCAGGACCCAGGCCGTAGCTCTCCAAGGCATTTGGTCAAGATGGCTTCCCTACATCACTGCCATGGGCCCAGGGTCTCACACCCTTGGGAAACAGCCACAGATACAAGGCAGATGGCCATGTTCTGATTTTCTCAAGCCTGAAGCCCCCGGGTGCCCAGCCTGGGAGGTCAGTTTGTGTTCCAGTGGTGCAGGCTCTACAGGGCACCGCCTCCCCCCTCCCTAGGAGTGGGTTCTAAGGCTCCCCTGGGGCTCAATCTGGAGGCAAGTGTGGGTCAGTCCAGGACTCCTACAATCGGATGGTCCCACAGCAGCCCACGCAGGCCAGGGAGGACCACATACATGGGACACGTGCTCCTCCAACTCCTCCACCTTCTCCAGGGCCACGTTCTTGGTCTCAGCATCTTCCAGCAACCCACCCACGTCAAATACGTTGTCCAGGTACGCCTGAATCTGCACCTGCAGCTTCTCGCTCTCCGTGTGCCTTGACTTCTGGGGGCAGAGCAGGCAGAGGGTGCTGGGAGCAGGTGCTGGGTGCAGGCACAGGCTCCAGAGAACCTCTGGAGAAGAACTCAGCCATCATCTGTCCTGAAGGAGTCCCTGCCTCTGGTCAATGCCAGATTCTTGCCCCACCTGGAGGTGCTGGACCGGGGAGCCCTGCAAGAGGGCCCAAGGCCTGGGGCTCCAGGAACGTCCGGGACTCAGCTCTTTGACATGAAAACCCCTTTGTGATAGGGCTAAATGGGTCCTCACCCCAACGGGACCCGGGCAGCTCACCTGCAGGAACTCCTCTAGCCCCAGCTTGGTAAACTCGTACTGCAGGTGGACCCGGAAGTTCATGTCTTCCACCGAGTGCACCACGATGTTGATGAACTGCATGCAGGCCACCTGGGGGAAGCGGCCAGCGACAGGGAAGACAGGCGGCCGTTAGGATGCCAGAAAAGTTAAGAGGAGTCTCGCTTTGAAACGTCGCATTTAAGATTCAGAGTACAAAGATGAGTAAGTCACACGGAATGCATGCAGATCCAGTGCTCTGAGTCCCTCTGTCCAACAGCAGGGTTTCTGGAGACAACCTGAGTTAGCTGGAGGGTCTGTGCTGAGGGGGAGAGGAGCTGGAAGAAGGGCTTGGGAAAAGATCCACAACCAGGACAAAAAGGCCACAGGAAAAGGAAAAAGAGAGGAAGAGCTGAGACACACATGGGCATTGTCCTGAGTTTCCAAATGCGCTCTGGCATGCCAGCATACAGGGAGCACTTGCTGGACAAACAGAACCATTTCTGCCTGTATATGGAGTATTAAAACACGCCAAGGGCGTTGTGGCAGAGCAGGTAAAGCCGCTGCCTGCAACAAAGGCATCCCATATGGGCGCCACTTAGGGTCCTGGCTGCTCCATTTCTGATCCAGCTCCCTGCTACTGGCCTGGGAAGAGCAGAGGAAGTTGATCCAAGTGTTTGGGCCCCTGCTACCTATGTAAGAGACCCAAATGACGTGCCTGATTTCAGTCTGGCCCAGCCATGGCTGTTATGGCCATCTGGGGAGTGAAATGCAGATGGAAGATTCTCTCTCTCTCTCTCTAACTCTAATGTTTAAATAAACCTTTTTTTTTTTTTTTAGATTTATTTATTTGCAAGACAGAGTCACAGGCAGAGGCAGAGGCAGAGGCAGAGAGGGAGAGGGAGAGGGAGAGGGAGAGGGAGAGGGAGAGGGAGAGGGAGAGGGAGAGGGAGGTCAGTCCTTCATCTGCCGGTTCACTACCCAGATGGTCACAACAGCCAGAACCATGCTGAACCGAAGCCAGGAGCCAGGAGCTTCTTCCAGGTCTCCCACGCGGGTGCAGGGGCCCAAGGACTTGGGCCATCCTCTACTGCTTTCCCAGACCATAGCAGGGAGCTGGATCGGAAGTGGAGCAGCTGGGACTTGAACTTGTGCCCATATGGCATGCCAGCACTGCTTTACCCGCTACGACACAGCGCTGGCCCCTTAAATAAATCAAGCTTTAAAAACCACAAGCAGGCCGGCGCTGTGGCTCACTAGGCTAATCCTCCGCCTGCGGTGCCGGCACCCCGAGTTCTAGAGTTCTAGTTCCGGTTGCTCCTCTTCCAGGCCAGCTCTCTGCTGTGGCCCAGGAAGGCAGTGGAGGATGGCCCAAGTGCTTGGGCCCTGCACCTGCGTGGGAGACCAGGAGGAAGCACCTGGCTCCTGGCTTCAGATTGGCACAGTGCACCAGCCATGGCAGTCATTTGGGGGGTGAACCAACGGAAAAGGAAGACCTTTCTCTCTGTCTGTCTCTCTCTCCCTGTCTAACTCTGCCTGTCAAAAAAAAAAAAAAAAAAAAATCACACAAAAAAAAACACAAGCATACACTGCAGGCCTGGTTCCACTCTCCAGGGGCACGTGCCTGACCCAGGCCCAGCTCCTCACCATGAAGTCGATGTTACTGTCCTCATTCCGGAAATACTCCATCAGCTTCTCGAAACGGTGTAGCTCCTTGCACACCTGAATGAGCAAATGTCCTCAGTGCAGGGATCTGCTCCATGCAGAACTCGAGCCCCAGGACCTGGCTCCCAGGAGCACCGTGGCATGGGGACTGGTTTGGATCCAGTTTAACCACAACTCCATCTAGGAAATGGGCCATCCTGGGCACTTCAGAGAGGAAACCCGGGACCTGGAATCTGGCCCTGGCTGAGGAGCCTGAGCAAAGGCTGAGCCCTCGGGCCGAGCCCTGGGTGCCTACAGGGCTGGGCCACGAGGAAACCCCAGGGTGTGATGCTGCCAAGTCACTGGAGGAGGAGGAGGAAGCGAGGCTGCAGGCTGAGTCTTGGCGGGGAGGCAGGGGTGGGGCCGGCGTGCAGGAAAGTCCTCTGCTGAGAGCGGCCCAGAGGCTGCTCTGAACCCAGGGGCTGCAGGAGGAAGAGCTGCTTCCTGGCTTGAACAATGCATGCGAGGGAAGAGGTCCAAGGCGGAGGAAGGGGCGGGACAGCAGCTGGGGCTGGGTGTCGAGGAATCCCGTGTCCCAGCAGATAGGGTGTCGGAGTCGGGCAGGAGGCTGGGGAAATTCCACCCAGGGGCTCCCTGTGCCCTCGCTACGGCAGCCCAGGAGGGGCCTTGCTCTCTCTCCCCTCCCGCTGCAAACGTCTCTGCTCGGGTTCACTGTATGAGAACCATTAACAGGGGAGGGGGCAGTGAAATGCAGACACCCAGGCCCCCCACGGCTCCTCGGGGAGGCTCTGATGCACAGCCAGGACCCGACAACTCAGCCAATCAGATGAGTTCCTGGCATGAGATCTTGTAAGAATGAAGTTCTGGTTTCGACTTAAAAAAAAAAAAAAAAAAAAGTGGGAGGGAGGCAAACGGACTCATGCAGGTTGATTAGCCTAAGTAATCCCTGGATGCTACTACAATCTCAGGTGCTGGTCTGCCTGGCCCCCAATCTTCTCCCCCGCACGCGCACACGCGCGCGCACACACACACACGCAGGGAAGGCAGGGAACTGACCTCTTTGAAATTGTCAAAGGCAGCAAGGATGATCTCGTGGCCTCCCCGCACCAAGCACACAGCTGCCAGGAGCTCTAAGACAAGGGCTTTGGTCCTAAAGGGAGAAGGGAGATTGGCACCCCGGCTCCCCATCCCAGCACCACACACACAGTTCACGGCCATGGGTGAGCGAGTGGGTCCCTCTGGAGAGCGCAGACCACCTTCGTGGTGAGCGGAGAGGGCAGGATTCAGAAAGGAGGCAGGGGGAGGAAGGCCTGATCCCTCTCTAAGCTGCACAGACCTGGGGAGGAGCCAAGAACACTTCTCCTACAGCTGAGGTGAGGGGGTCAACCAAGGCTGTGCCCCTGGCTGCGAGATCCAGAGGCTGCCAGGATTTCTGCTCAGCACAGCGGCGCCGGCCCTCCAGCGCCCTGGGCAGAACAAGATGGAGGGACTCACCTTGCGTTCTTGTTGTTGAGGCTGAGAGCAATCTCATTGACGGCATGGGGGTGGGACATGACCAGGTTGAATCCATACTGCAACGCAAAGAAGGGGGCCTGATGGCGGGCCAGGGGAGCCCCTCGGGTGTCCTGAAGAGCAGCCCACCGGCAAGCAACCTCGGCAGAGCACCCGTGCCCAGTGTGGCCCCCGGACCTGATAGTTCATGATGGCTCTGAGACAGAGGATACAGACGTGGACGTCATCCTTCTGGCTCACCAGGCGCGAGTTCTTCAGGGCCCTGCGCCCGGGCAGTGTGCTGTACCTGGGGGAGAGGAGCAGGCATCAGGGGGCAGCTGAGGCTGCAGGGGAAGGGTCTGGGCGCCCCCACCCGCACCCCGACAGCAGGCTGCCCCTCAGCGGCCGCATTAAAGGGGGAAGATGACTGCACCAGCAGCCGCGGGAGACGGCCTGCTTTCTCCTCCCTGGAACAGGCCTCTGCTTGGCAGCTGTGCAGGACCCCAGCTTTTTAAAGCTCCTGTCTAAACCACGCTAGCCCCGGCGAGCCTCCGAACACAGGAGCTGTGTGGCCCTCCCTGTCCTCACAGCCACTGGGCGGAGCCGGCCCTGCTCCCACCTCCAGCTGCTGTAGTTTCTGTATAGACTGGGGCAGGGGCACCCCCGTGGCTCTCATCCCACTTTTTCATCCCCACAAGACAGAGCAAGGTCCCTGAAGGTGCGGGAGGGCCGGAGGGGCTATGTCAGGCTTTGAAAGCCCCCTCCGTGCCCTCAACCATGTTCCATGAACAACTAGGAAGCACAGATGGGATCTGCTTTTTCTAAAGGGTGAGACTGATCGCAGTGTCTGAGGACCAAACCCAGAGAGAGGAGGGGGAAGGCGCGGCCGCGAGAGAACAAGGGGAGGGCGCCAGGACCCCAGGGAGAGCCCCGCTGGACAGAAGGCGCTCCAAGAACTCATCCGGCCGGTCTGCCTCCAGATGCCACAGCCCTGGAGAAGAAAGGCCTGCAAGGAAGGAAAGGGCAGGGCAGGGCGGGCAGGTGGTTGGGGGCTGGTCTTGGAGCAGCTGATGGCACAGAGAAGATCTGAGGGAAGCAGACGTGAGGCAAGGAGCCAGATCAGCCACACCCACCTGAGAAGCCCGGGAGGAAGGGCACAGTGAGAGTGAGGAACGAAGGGGCCCCCTGAGAGGGGGTGAGGAGGGGAGAGCTGGAACCCCAGGTGGGGTGGGCACAGCTGAGGGCCATGTACTTACCCAGGACAGACTGCTGGGCAGAGTCAAGGAGACAGAGAGACAGACCAGAGACAGACTGGCAGGCAGAGGGCAAGAGAGCTGAGCCTGGAAGCAAGAGTGGAGGGAGGTGCGTGAGCATTCACGCTGTGTCGGCCAGGCCGGCGCGGGCGAGGGCAGGAGGCGGCGGGCAGAGCAGCGCGCACACATACCGGAGCACAGACTGACGCGCAGAGCGAGCGAGGCTGTTGGTGAAGGGGGCCGACAGGGCGCTGGGCGGCTGCAGGTCCTCGATGGACCTGCTCCAGGCGCGGAGCTTGTCAAATGCGCCGTCGTCAGCACTCTCCAGACCCTCAAAGTCAAACCTGGAGCACGAGAGGACACGCGTGCGCACACACAGGCACAGACGCGGGGGGGGGGGGGGTTGAGCCAGGGCCCCTGGCAAGCCTGGCCCTCACCCGCCAGGCCTCCAGGGCAACAGGAAGCAAGGGCAGCAAGAGCGGAAGGTAGAACTGGGCAGCAGAGACCCGACACTGGGTGGGAGAGCCACCCACACAGCACGGGGCAGAGTGGGCACAGCACAGGAGGGGCTGTGAGAGCGGGAGATCGTCTCCTTTGCTCCCCTCCAGCGGGGCAGGGGTGGAGGGGGCATGGGCCCCAAGGGACAAGGGGAGCTGGCTGTCTTCCTGTACTTAGGCTTAGCTCAGGAGTCGCTGTGCCCACAGAGAATCTTCTCCAGAGAGTGCACGGTGGACAAGGAGCCAACTGCTGGTCCTTCCAGCTAGCAAATGGCAGAGGGCCCTGAGGGAGCCTCCCGCTCACTGACTCTGGAGCTGACAGCCCTGAGAGGGAGGGAAGGGGTCACAGGAGCCCCAGTGTGTTCAGTGGAGCACCACTGCCCCAGCCCAGCACTGGGCTGTAATGGGCAGGCTCCATGGCTCTGGCTACTTGAGGCTTCCGGGTCTTTCTGGCATCCAGGCTCCTGGGGCCTAGGCTTCTGAAGGGGAAGAAATCACAGGCCGAGACGGTGCCTGCTTCCGGGACCAGATGTCTCCCCCTTTGCAGCTTGTGAATGTGGTCAAGGCAAGGAAGGCAGCTGGGGACCACAAACCCACAGAAAGTCCCGCTCCTCTTCCCCCTTGCAGGTCTCTAGGGACCAAGAGGGCATCTCCTACAGGCTCTGCCCCCCAGAGCGCGCCCTGCTCAGATGCAAGCAGCCTGGGGCCAAGGAACAGCCAGTAAGGGGGAGGTGGGGGCGGTGCTCCCTGGCCTGGGAAGCCACACCCACAAGGCCTGAAGGTTCCCAAGGAAGCAAGGAACAGGCTCTGGAGTCCTGATGACCAGGAGCCGTCAGCATAGGGGCCTCCCGGACTGGGGGAGCTGCTTGCTGGGGGCTCCCTCCCTCTGCAAGGCGCAATTCACAAATAAATGCCAACCCCTACAACGACCCAGTCTCCTCCACTCTTTCCTTGGAGTCTCTCTTCATAAAACAGAGTCAAAGGTGCTACTACGGACACCATAGCACTGAGGTTCTGGTGGACTCTGGGTTTACAGCAGCTGGGATTTGTTTGCTTTTCAAATAAGATAGGCTTATTTGGGAAAAATGATCGACATCTTTTTACTATAAAAGCCCTGAATTAAAAAAAAATAACTTCAGCAAATGTTTTTCATTTCTTTCTATAAAAAGAGTGTGTGTTTTTTTTTAATGGGTGGGAGGATGGCGAGGTGTGGCTTGTGCAGGGCTGGGAGTGTGGAGTGGGCACCTCTGATTCTAACACAGGCAGACTGATAACAGTGACGCAGGCCAATCTCAGAGGCATTTGTTTGAACCCCTGAGGAGGTGGGACCTAAGACCTGCTGGGCAAAGAATGGCCGGTGGGCAAGGACAGTAATGAGAAAAGCTGCAGTCCAGGCTGGAGCGGAGGTCCAGAGCAGAGGGTTCCCAGGATGTGGGGAAAACTGGCCAAAGTCACAGGCAAACAGGAAGCTAGGCCTCCCATCTGAGTTGTCCAGGGCCTACGTCTGAGGGTGCTAGTCACCTCGCTGGTCGTGGCTGTAACCCCACACACGCTCAGGTCACGGAGGCTGAGGACAGCCAGCTTGAGTGACAATGAAATCAACAGGAAGGCCTCCACTGGTCCGGACGCACACATCATCTAACCCTTCCACACAGACCTGCTGCGTCCCGAATGCAGCAGCCCCGGGGCGGGGGGTCCCCTTTCCTAGAAGTGGGTGCAAGCTTGTCTGAGTCATGCAGACAGTCAATAACAGAGTACCCTCTATCCTGCGCTAACGCACTTCCGGCTGCCTCAGACCCCTACCCCCCAACCCTGCCTACTGGAAAAGAGCTGCGGACTGCTTCCTTTCTCTGCCCAGGTCAAAGGTCATGGTCCCTGTGCAACCTGCTCCCATCAGCAGGCTCATGTCTGCGAAGATGAGCCAATCCCAGTCATTCCCCGGACAGCCTGCGGCCTGGCATTATGGACCTTTTTGGGTTCTGAGTCCAGGCTGCCCCTCCGTGTCTCCCTCCTCCTACACATCCGAATGTACCATCTGTTCCAGCCAGCTGGCGTGCTTGCTGACCCACACATCCCCTCAGCTCACCTGGCCCCCTCTTCCTGGCCTGGGATTCCCCTTCTCATGCTTACTGTTGGCATCGACCTTTCCCGTCATTGCAGAACTGGCCTGCGGCTTCTCTAGTGGCCCACAACCTTAGCCCTGGAGGGTACTCACATGACAGAACACTGGGCAAAGGACAGGTAATCCACCAGCACGTCCAGGCCTTTGTTGTCGTCATTCAGAAACTCCCGAACCCACCTGCAGATGAAGGAAGCCAGGGAGAGGGGGGTTGTCTTCTACGAAGGTTCTGGAACCTAGCACCAGCCTGGAAAAACTCCAGGTTACAACATGATGCGGAGGTGTGGCCCAACATCCACATCCCATTTCAGAGTGCGCGGTTTAGTCCTGGTTCCTCTGCTTCCAATCCAGCTTCCTGCTAGTGAACACCCTGGGAGGCAGCAGACGATGGCTGAAGTACTTGAGCCCCTGCCACCACCCACCTGAGACACCCAGATTGAGTTCTGGGTTTCTGGTTTTTGCTTGGCCCAGCCCCGGCAATGTGGCCATCTGGGAAGTGAACTGGTAGATACAAGATCCCTCTCTCTCTGTCTCCCTATTTATGTCTCTCAAATAAAATGAAAATTATATATATATATATATATTTAAAATATATATTTAAAAAATATATATATTTTAAAATATATATATATTTAAAAATGACATGTTTGGGGCCAGCACTGTGGTGCAGCAGGTAAAAGCCTCTGCCTACAGTGCCAGCATCCCAGTTTGAGACCCGGCTGTTCCACTTCCAATCAAGTTCTCTGCTATGGCCTAGGAAAGCAGTAGAAGATGGCCCAGGTCCTTGGGCCCCTGCACCCACATGGGAAACCCGGAGGAAGCTCCTGGTTCCTGGCTTCGGATCAGCACAGCTCCGGCCGTTGTGGCCATCTGGGAAGTGAGCCAGCAAATGGAAGATTCTCTCTCTCTCTCTCTCTCTCTGCCTGTGTCTCTGTATAACTCTGCCTTTCAAATAAATAAATAAGTCTTTAAAAAAATTTAACACATTCATCTGTGGTCATGCCATGGCCTGGACATCTGCGAGGGAGGGGAGCCAGGGCAGGGAAAAGGCAGGCCCTTCCAGGCCCCTGGCTTTATCATGAAAGCTCTTCTGACAAACTAGCTCCAGGTACCCCCTCCTTGCAGGCTGGGGCACCAGATCAATCGTTTCTCGCATGCCCTTTGTCTGGCACAAGGCTGGATACGGCGTCCTCGCTCCCATTGGCTGGAAGAACTGGAGAGGCACCCGAAACACTGACCACGGGCTATGTGCGGTGCTGTGCTGTGTGGAGGCCCGAGAGTCCCCAACCTGACTGCTCTCTTGGTCAAGGAGCAGGCAGGAAGGATCAAAAGAAAGGTCTGGGACAGAGGTACCCTGAGCAAAGGGCTCTGTACCGAGTCCCAGACACGGAGGTTCAGGAAGCAGAGAACAGAAAGGGCTGTGCGGTGCTCTGTGCTTAGTCAGCACAAGTCTAGCAGAACAGGGAAAGGATCGGGGTTATCAGGAACTCCACAATGGCCACGGCCCCTCAGCCAAGCCAGGAAGGCAGCAGGCAGACAAGCAGGCACCCAAAGGACAGTGTCACCCTCTGCCATCAGTCTCTGTGAGCTGAGCTGTCCCTTGAGTGAAAGGCGAGAGCGAATCTCTAGGGCACTATTCTACTGCACAGAGAGACACAAGACCCGCAGGACAAGACCCTGGCTCTCCTGAGTGCTCCACCTTCTCGAGACGCCTGGGGGGGTCTGGATCACCACCCAGAGGTGCCCAGGCAGGGCCACTTGTCCCCACAGCTGGAACACCAGCGCCATGTTGACTGGCCGCACCCAGAGCCGCGCGGGCTGGGACCAGAGCACCAGGCCGACTGAGATCTGGCAGCAGGCTCTGGCTGACGCCGGCTGACACCGGAGCTGCCTGAAGTTAGCTTCCTCTCTAGGGGCCGACAGGCCTCCCGTTTCCTGTCTGTCTGCTCTCCAGCTCCCCGCCCCCTTCTCATTTCCTGTCTGAGTCTACACTGCTATTTTCGGGATCTTGACACTTTGCACAGAGGTGAAAGGGCACCCAGGCAAGGCAGAGAAACCCACACAACCCAGGGGAGAGGAGGAGCTGCACAGGCCCCTGGAATCCCACTTCCCAGCCCACTGGCTCCCATCTGCCTGCTTCTGCCGGCCCTGGGGCCCACCAGGCTGGGAACAAAGTGGTATCCTCACTTCCTTGCTTGCCCTGGACTCCGGCCACACCGAAGCCACCGCACGCCAGCCTGCCGGACTCCTGTGCTGGGAAGGATCTGGCTGTCCCCTACAGCCACTCAGAGAAGGCCCCGTCCCTGAAATGTCAGGAATGGAGATCTGCCCTGGGAACGACGCACCAGGTCTAGACCTCTGACTTGTGTGCCAACTGACAAGGGGCCCCGGGGCCTGGGAAACGTGCTGCTGGGGCTTAGCTCCTGGCCAGCAGCCAGAGGGGCAGACACCAGGTGGGGGGGGACCGTCATACGCAGCTCTGTGACCCTCTCCCAAGAAGAGTGGACCCCATCCTCACCCCCAGCACAGCAGGACTCACAAAGGAAGGCAGAAAAGCCCGAGAGGGAGGGAAGGCGCCACAGAGAGGCGGGTGGTGCTTGGGAGCTGCCATCTGTGTCTCTCACACCTGCCCCCACCCGGGACCTGCCGGTTTTCCCTGCTATGAAGGATTCACATGGTAAAGGTACAGGCTTGGTCGCAGCGGCCTGGCCTCTGGCGTCTGGTCTACACATGACATCTGGAGGCCATGCTCTGGGCCCCCCAGAGCACAGCTGCCGAGGCCAGGAACCAAACCCTTCCTGTTCTCGCCTGTGCCATTTCCCTTGCGATTGCTGCTGGGACTGGCCACATACAGGTGTCCCCTCCTTCTAAACAGCCCAGGACAGGCGTGGCCTGGGGTGGGCGAGCGGGAAAGGCTGATGAGGTCATCTGGCTCCTTCTACCCTACTCTCAGGAAGCCCAGGAACCTGGGGGCTGGCACCTGCCCAGCTGCCCCACCTCCACCCAGGCCACCTCACTCCTATCAGTGCTTGCTTGTGCACTGGCCTGAAGTCCCACATCGGGTGCCCTCACAGTCCTTTCTGCATGTATAGGTTCTCTCTCTCTCTCTAATTCCCTTGCTGGGTATGGAGAGACTCAGTCACCTCTCATTGCCTCCTATCTTCCTTATTGGCTTCAAGAAATGTCTTCTGCCCATAAATACTGTTTTCTCCTGAATGAGCAAATGGCCCGGGCGACAAGAAGGCCAAACAGACCCTGAACAGGAACCAGGTCTCCATCACCAACACAACCTGCCCTCTGCCCCCAGCCTTCTCAGAGCCTCGCCTGGCCCAGCACCAGGCCACAGGCAGACTCCTGTCTCAGCTGCTATGGGAATGTCTCCCACTCAAAGCCGCAGGCTGAGGGCCCCAGGAGAGGCCTTAAGCTTGCCAGAGACATCAGCAGCTAGCAGAGCCAAGAGGGGAGAAGCCTGAAGCTCTGGGGGCTGGAAGCCATTCAAGAGGCACCTCTGCCCTGTGACCGGGGGGTAGGGGACAAGCAGGCAAACCACCCGCAGGGCACCCTGGGGCCCGTGTGCCAGGCCAAACCCACTCACCCGATGTGGTTGGTGCGGAGTGAGATCTCCAGCTCCCGCAGCACTTTGGTTGACTCTTGCACTCTCCTCCTGAACTTCTGTAAGCAGGGAGTCCCCCATCACTGATGGGGGCCCTAATCCAGCTCCACTTTACACAAAGCACAAGTGGTGGGGGAGGGGACACCCCAGGCCCTGGCCCCAAAGCCCAGGAATTCAACCCTGTTTCTCCAGCAGCTTTTGCTACCCCAGCCCCCAAAGGGTTTGCCCCCCAAAACCAACAAAACTGTGAAGGGTGGCGGGGACACAATGGCCCATACTTCACCTTCCGAGTGACACTGGGGTCCAGGAAGCTTTGGAGCTTTTGGATGTAAGTGTGGGGAGGATTCTTCACCTGGAACCGCTCCTGTGAGAGAAACAAGTTCAGGTGCACACACAGGGACTAACTCTGAGGAGGGCGTTGCGGGGCAGGGTCTGTTCTTCAACGGTTGAGTGGCACAGCACCCCAAATAGGTAACCTGGAATAACCTCAAACTCACACTGCACTGCTGCTTGGGATGTGTGGTTATCATTAACATGGTGTTCAGTGCTAGGGAACTCAGCCTCACAAAGCTGTCCCCTGGCCCTTGGCATTGCCCAATCCGCAGGTCCCTTTCTGACTCATGCTCGGCCATCTCCAGCTTTTTGGCCATCTCCTCCTCCAGTCAGTGCTCCCTAGTTTGAAATGTTTTTGGGACCGCAGTTGCGAACAGCATCCAAAATAAAGATGTGACTGGGAAGCATCATTTCCTGCCTGGCCAACGATGGACGGGGGTGAGGAAGGCCAGGGGAGGGTGCCTGGCCTCTGGAAGCCAGCCCTCTCAGCCCCAGATGCCGCAGCTGAGGTTGGCCTGGCTTCGTGGCATGAACACAGTTCAGGGCTGAGAACACGTGAGCTCCCTAGGCCTCGTTCCCTAGGCCTCGGGCCCCAGCAAGCCAAACCAACCTCAGATACTCAAGGCTCCTCTTAGCAAGGTCATCCCTCAGTCCTGTCTGCACAGGACACAAGGACCAGCCTCCCTGTTTTGGCCCAACCTGCCCCACTCGGATTCAAGGGAAAACTTTAGCATTCTGGTCCCAACACAAACAAGCTATCTGAAAGAGTGTAGTGGAGGCTGGGGACTGGTAGAGAGGAGGGGCCAGGGAAGGGTTGGGACCTGCAAGCTGGTGAAAGCAAAACAAGATGGCTTGGGAATGCTGCAATGACATGACCTAGAAAAGGCAGATTAGCAACCCAAGAACTTCGATACCAAAGAGCTGCTGTCTTCCAAAACCCCACCAGGCGCTAGCCAATTCTCAGTGCAGAACGAAAGGAAACGGGCCTGCTGGAGAGGAGGAGATGGGCACAAGGGCCTGTGAGGCATCATCTTAGCTGGGTCCAGCAGCTGCACAGCCCTGGCCCCTGCCCACCTGAGCGCAACCCTGGCTCCATTAGCCAGCAGCACCAGGTGGGATGCTGAGCTGTGGGTTCTTCACCTATGAAATGCAACGGTGCCTTCCTCAGGGCTTTTCTAAGGATTAAATGAGCTATTTCAGTATGTACAGGGCACCTGGTCCATAATCAGCACCCAGCAAATGTTAGTTACTATGATTTTGTTCAGAGCTTGAAATCTGTCCGTGAAGAAGCAAGCTCCATGGCCAAGGCTGGGAATCACACTGCCCATGCTCTGTGCTAGGTACGGAGGTAAGAGCCAAGGCTCCTGGCTCCGCAGACAAGCCTGGCTGAGTGCACAGCTCATGTGTCCTCTTTGAATGCATGCAAGGGGAAGAGCCAGGTCACTGGTATTAGATTTTGATTCTGAGTACAGCCCAGATGTGCATTCTCTTCCAGGTGTGCGCACGACTCATGTGCATACAACAGTCTCTGACTGTTCTGAGGTCTGGGGACAGGAGGCTAAGGGACAGGGGCTTCTTCCTTTGCCAGTCTGGGGCAGAGCAAGATGGAAACGGCCCTGTGGGGCACCTCGCCAGGCACAGCCCTAACCCTGAGGAGGCAGAAACGGACTCTGCTGGGAAAACTCCCAAATGCTCCATGGTCACCCTGCACCCCAGACCAACACAAACCTCCTTCCTGCTACCGCCCGCTGGAAGACATCCAGACAGCTCTCGGAGGGAGTGAGGGGGATGTGGCTGACCAGCAAGAGTCTTCTTGGTACAGGAAGTGAGGGTGCGCTGAGGGCGGGGCACCTGAACAGCCCAGGACACAATTCCCCACCTCCTGCTCTTCCGCAGGCCCCATACCTGGTCACAGATGAGATCCCACTTCTTCTCGTTGTCATACTGTCGCAGGAGACGCGCCTTGTCAGGGGGCAGGTTCATGGAGCTCTGGAGGAGAGAACTGAAGTCAACAGGGCTGACTGCTCCCTACCTGCCCACACGCTCCTACTGCGGGCCTCAGGCTCTGCCCTGACACAGAACACCTAGAGAGGTGAGGCCTCCTGCCTCCCCTTCGGAGTTAGTCCAGTTTGCTTCAGCAATGTCTTTTAAACCACAGGCTGTGGAATCAAGGTAGTGAGCTAAGATTAATGGTATCTGAAATGGAAACGAGCAGATTGAAACAGGACAGAAAAGGAGCCGGCGCTGTGGTGTAGTGGGTAAAGTGGCTACCTGCAGTGCCGGCATCCCATATGGGTGCCGGTTCGAGTCCTGGCTACTCCTCTTCCAATCCAGCTCTCTGCTGTGGCCTGGGAAAGCAGTAGAAGATGGCCCAAGTCCTTGGGCCCCTGCACTCGCACTCATGTGGGAGACCCCGAGGAAGCTCCTAGCCCCTGATCGCTGCAGTTCTGGCCATTGCAGCCAACTGGGGAATGAACCATCAGATGGAAGACCTCTCTCTCTCTTTCTCTGCCTCTCCTCTCTCTGTGTAACTCTGACTTTCAAATAAATAAATAAATCTTTTAAAAAAAACAACAGAACAGAAAATAGCAGAATTCATTTTAAGCAGGACATATACGCAACTGTTCGTGAAGCTTTTATCTTTCATGCATCTATGAGTATACAAACACGAAAGTACTTAAAAAAAGTTATAGAAAATTAAATTAAATATTTTGGTGTAAAGTATTTGAAATTTATGTAGTTTTTTCATAATATGCATTTTATTTTTAAACTTTACATTAGTTTTTATTATTTGAAAGGCAGAGTGACAGAGAAAGAGAAACAGAGAGAGAGATCTTCCATCTGCTGGTTCACTTCCCAAATGGCCACAATGGCCAGTGTTAGTAAAACGGCACAGTCTGACCTATGGTGTGATCTACACCCTGACACCATTTTAGGCTCTAGTCCCCGCCACCATTGCTAGAAGCCAGGTGGCCACATGGCCCAACCACCGGTGTCAGCTCTACCCCCATCCTAATGGGATTTGCTGCTCCTGCTTCCCTGCCCGCACTCAGCAAAGTTTTAAGAGGACCTGTTCCTGAACACATGGCTCTCTTTCTCTCCGTCTATGTCTCTCTGTCCCTCTCTCTGTCTCTTTCTTGTTCTCTCTTACACTCTACTTCTCTTTTCCTTCTTCACCCCTTCCCTGTCTGGTTTCCTCCCAATAAACCCTTTCTCTTACTCTGGTGTTTAGTGTGTTTTGTGGTGGCCTTACAGCCAGGGCTGGGCCAGGCTGAAGCCAGGAGCCACTCTGGTCTCCCACATGGGTGGCAGGGGCCCCAGTACTTCAGCCATCTTCCATTACTTTCCAAGTAATTAGCAGGGAGCTGGACTGGATGTGGAGCAGCCAAGACTTGACCAGCAAGCTGATATGGGATGCCAGATCAGAGGTCGAGACTTAATTGGCGGCACCACAATGCTGGCCTCCACAACACACATTCTCCACAAATGTTTTATAAAACCCTTGTATGCATGGATTTCAGAAATGTTTGCAACCAAAACAAAAACTCCTTATCTTATAATTCCATTTTCCATGAACTTTTTGAAGTCTATCATGTAAGTGTAGGACGCAGTTGTTTGCATGGGCAACCTCCCTGCACCAGGGCAAATCCTGAGCCACCTGCTGTGACTCAACCCCCACCCCCACCTTTCCTCACATCGGGAGGAGGGACTGAGGAGGACATTAGCATACAGGTAACTGCTCACATCTTTTACAGAAAACATTTACAAAAATTCAGGACTTTACAACACACCTTCCAGGGAACGAAGACACAGCAAAGCATCTGACTTTGGTAAGATACTCCAGTGCTGGGTCTTGAGTAACAGGTCAGCAATCATTTTGGGGGCCGGTACTGTGGCGTAGCGGGTAAAGCTGCCACCTTTAGTGCCAGCATCCCATACAGGCGCCAGGGTTCGAGACCCAGCTGCTCCACTTCTGATCTAGCTTTCTGCTATGGCCCGGGAAGCTATGGCCTTGGAAAGCAGCAGAAGATGGCCCAAGTCCTTTGGCCCCTGCACCCACGTGGGAGACCCAGAAGAAAGTTCCTAGCTCCTGGCTTTGGATCGGCACAACTCTGCCCACTGCAGCCAACTGGGGAGTGAACCAGTAGATAAAAGACCTCTCTCTGTCTCTACCTCTCTGCCTCTGCCTCTCCATAACTCTGCCTTTCAAATAAATAAATCTTTAAAAAAAAAATCATTTTGTTCTGCTTACTACCATTTGCTGAATAAAGAACAATGTGTGAATAAAGCCCAAGGTATCTGCGGCCCAGCCCTGCCCGGGCCACGCCCACCTTTCCCTCCTTTATCCCCAGCTAGCCAAACTTCCCTCCCCTGAGTCAGTCTGACACTGCGGTCTGCTCACTGCACCTGCCACCTGCCAAGCTCCTGAGTCAAACAAGATCGCCACCTGCTAACCACGTGACTTCCCGCGAATCCAGTCTCTTCTACCAGCTTGCTGTCAGTCACCTGGAGCACCTTCCTCTCACTGTGCTCTCCTCTGCCTACTGCTCCAAGGTCAACCCACCCATGACCACCAGGGAACCTAACCATGACCACCCGGTTCAACTCTGCCCACCTCGTGACATCACCATCACTGGGGACGGGAGCCGTGTGCCACCAGGGTCCCAGGGGGCCAACAGGCCCCTGCATTATCCCACAATGACCCTGGGAGGATCTCATTCTCTAAGGGACCAAGAGAAAATCCTTAAACATCATTTATTTCCGTCACATTTACCTATTTGTTACATTCTTATCTCTTACATGCTACCAAGCCAGCTGGAGGGCTGTGATCATTCTCACAGCCTCCAGTCCCAATAAGCAGCTTCTGAACGGAACGGAACTGCTGGTGAATCTGGCTAAGACGTCCCAGATCCAAGTGCTGGGCCCATCTACTTGGCTACAAACAGGGTCACTACGCAGTTGAGGTCTCTGGTTGAAGTTTACAAACGGAAGGCACTAGAACCATTCAAGGAAGGCAGCAAGAGAAGAAAAGAGAGAGACTCCCATCCGTCACACTTCTCCCCGTGGTTTCTGCCGTGCGTGAGTCCGCCTCAACTTCTGCAGGCAAGAGGGGCTGGCCGCGTCCTGCCTGTCACCAACAGCAGAGCAGACAAACACGAGGCTGGAATGCTCTCTCTGGAACTACTTTGCAAAAAGGGCCAGCTCAGCACGTTTGTGTGCCCAGCAGGACGGGGGTAGGAGGCCTCAACAAAACCGGCCCAAAGGCCCAACGCAGGCCCAGAACAGGACTGAAACCTAAGTGGAGCCAGGCTGCTGCTGACTCAGAAGCGAGCAAAACCATCCCCAGCCTCTGTCCGTGTTCTGGACACGTCCTTGTCATCCGACCGTTTCTCCCAAGTCTACGCCACGAAAATAGTTTTCTGTTGTCTGCTCTGGAAGAGAGCCACGGAGGAGGAGGGGGTGGGGGTGCTGGAGGCAGCCCGTTGCTGTGGGGCACACATCAGCTCTGGTCTAACCCCGATTTCCTCCCTCAGCCACCCACTGCCAGCTGCTGCGGCTGCACCCCCACCCAGGTGAGCTGGTAGGACACACCTGGTCCCCTCTGGGCTGCAAGGACGAGCAGAGCCACCTCTGGGAGCCCATGAGCATGGAGGAGACGCATCAGGGACCTGGTGACCCTGAGATCATCAGTACACAGAGCGTGAAGCAGCTCTGCCCACAAGCCCCACACACTTTCTAGATGCTGGCCCCAGCCTTCTCCATGTTTCAGGGCTGAATTGTGGCAGGGAAGGGGAATTGCCCCAGCCTCTAGCCATGACTGACTGCGGGATGAACCACCTGCAAGTGGGGAAGACCCAGGGCCTGGCCAGGGCAGTTCTAGTCCAGCCAGGTAAGGGAATCAAGGCTCCTGTGTGCATCCCATAATGTGTGTTGAGTCCAGCAGGGCTCCAATGTCTAGCGGACACTGGAGCTCTGCCCTTTAGAAGGACAATGCTTTGAGTTCCAGGGACAGTCAGTGAGCATACCTGACACACTTCTGGTCACAGCAAAGGCTTGTCTCCTTGATGTCGTGTTCAGCAGTTCCACAGACTGCGGCTCTCAGAGGCAGATCTGAGCTAGGTCTCTGTTCCCCGCTCCCCAAACCCTTGCTGAATGGGAGGAGAGAGCACTGACTGTGGAACAAGAGGGCCCAAGAGCAACTCGTGCCCTTCAGTCACTGGCCTTGGAGAACTCTTCCATCAGCTGACGATAATCTCCCTGCTTCGCAGGGTTTTACGAGGATTAAATGAGAAATGCTTTATGTCTGCACGCGTCTGAGACACTGTGGGTGTTCCTCACAGCTCCCTTCTCTCTTTCCTCCTGAAAAATTCTACCCGAGCAGGCGTCGGGCATAGGGGTTAAGAGGCAGGTTGGGACACCCAGCGCCCCATGTCCAAGTGCCAGGTTCAAGTTCTGGTTCCGCTCCCAATGCCGGCTTCCTGCCATGTGCACCCTGGGAGGCAGGAGGTGAGAGAAGGGAAGGTGAACTTGACTCGAAAGCAACCCTGGTACTAATCTCTGAAGCACAGGGACCCAGCAAGAAGTGGAACAACAAACACCTAACGGGAGGCAGCAGCGAGGTGTGGGACGGATGCTCCCCCGGCCGGTGAGGCTGCTTTGGTACGCATCAGGAAAGTACTGCTGGTCAACCTGTCACCCCCCGTGAAGCCAGAAGGGAGGCAGCGTGGGTTACAGAGGTTCCCTACCCTTCCTGCTCTGCACCCCTAGTCCCGTCAGCCCCTCCTTGTTTCCTTCCCCTGCAGGGGGAAGGGAAATGCGGGGTGGTGGGGGGAGGCTGCAGCTTCCTTCAGAGCTGTGGATCCTGCTCTGGGCTCACCCCTCTACTCTGCCAGGCTTCTTGGGCCAGGCCTGGGGAAAAACCCACAAACAGAAATAGGAACCACCAAAAATCCTCCCCCCCCCCCAAGTGCTGCTGCTGGTCCCAGGGG